ATTAAAACACGTAAAATCGGGTCGCGAAGCAGGTCAAAATTTAGTAAGTTACAGACAATTCACTAAATAATGTCTGTAGTTATATTCTCAGTAAAATGGAGCAAAAACAACAAACAACCTAGAAATTCAAATTAAGAATTGTTACATCAATATGTGTACAAAATTATGGTTTTATATTTTGCTTTGTTGAAAGGAAATCAACTTGAGAAGATTAGTAGTACTTTTTGAAAATGACAAAAACGATAACGTTTTAGAACGTCACGTAGAAGCAGATACCGAAGCAATTTTGTGTTTTTCTCAGGAAAATCCTGAATAAACTCTAAAAATGTTGAAGGAATCAAGAAAATATGTCACAAGCGAGTTGTGTCTGTGTGTACAAATAGTACAGACAATATTTAAGTGTAACTGTATCGGATGAGGATTGTATCATTTATATGTTTTGAATTGACCCCTTTGTGTATTACGTCATCAATTATGTGAAGGAACACAGAATTAAAAGCATGGAACCGACGCCATTCTTATGTTGTATCTACAGGCTAGTAAAAGCTTTATGGGACCACCTGAACCTTAACACAAGGATGACCTGTGAAGAAACGGTTTTACTGTAAACATCTAAACAAAACTTTAAAATTTGAAACGTAAATGAAAGACAAAGGCGCTTCAGAGTTGCTTATCCTGTGAAAGCAGAGTTAAGTGCTAAAAGAAATTAAAACCTTAACAACGAAAATTATACAATGAGATTAATTCTAAAAAAAAATTGTCAAGTATAAGAAAAAGAATTTAATGAATGTGTATTGGAATATTCTGTGTGAAATGTATAGGTATAGTATCTATTATAAATTTTCGATGCTATGTTTTGACGTTACATTGCCGTTTTGTGTGCTCCGCGGGTACAGAACATGTTGATTTGAAAATGAAGTAAATTTATTTGTGTTAATTCGAATAGAATGAAACTTCACACACCAACAAAACAAATATTTTTACATATTATAATGTGCTTGTTTTGAATTTCCAGTGAGAAGTATAACGAAGATGGACATCGTCCACGAACTTTTCGAACAACTCTCGTATTAAATCAAAAATAAGTAAATGAATTCATTATTTCGATTATTTTTTCAAACGTATGTAAACAACGGTGTTTCTTTTCACGTAGTCTCTTGTCTTTGAACGTTTTTCTTGCAGGATTAAAACAGGTACCCTATGTTGAACCTGAATGAAACAGTCTAAATATAAATCAAATTACATAGTTTTCATTGACTCCAATAAGAACTTTTTGTTATTGTTAAGCGCCACCTTAAAACAATCTTATACAAGCTTTGAACAGAACAATTCCTAAAAGGTTAATCTCATAGAAATGCAGAATCTAAATATTCATACAATATAAATAATTCAATGTTTATTGAAAATCTTTTGAATTGAATTGAACATATTTTATTGACAATTAAAGCCAAAAGGATAAGACACAAGTTCTGACAACTTAGATAGTCTTCTCCTCATACAAAATTTTTATAATATTGCCAAAATAAAGAACAATTATTTTCAGTAACAATTAGTAATGTCAAAGACAGTAAACTCTTGATACCAGAACACAATACTATATATACAAAAAATAAAGATTTTTCAGAGAATCGACCACACTCTTTTAAAAAGGTATGAATAACTTTAAAAATTTCTACATTTTGTTGATCAGAGAATGAATCAACACCCCATAACATCAAATGTACATCTATAATGTACAAATTGTTGAATGATAATAACTTATTCATTAGAGAATATCTTGCTGTTGCATATTTTCTACAAACAAAAAAACAAATGATAGGAATCCTCTATTTGTCCACATGAGCAATTCGGACTGTCAATTAAATTACAGCGAAATAGGTCAAAATTTAAAATACAATTATGTCTTAACCTTGTGTGAATAATATTCCAAAATCTCTTACCAAAAGAAAAAATAATTTGGAGGTTTTACAATATTGCTTGGCAAGCATTTTAAAACATTTTCATAGGAGTTGCCTCCCTTATGTAAATTTTAGTTGCATTCAACTTTCTAATAGTATCTGGAATAAAGGATTTATTGAAAAGTTCTAATCTGCATTTTGTCAAGGAATAATTGGAGGAATTTCTAGTAGAGTATTGTGAAATGTTGCCTCTAATATCAGGTACTATATTTTGAATATAAGTAGGTACTAAATTATTGTGTATTTAGTACATTGTTACTAGATTTGTTCGATTTCTTCTATTTTCCAATGGTTCCCATCCAGTTTCCAGATAAAGTGAATTTTTAGAAGCAATAAATGTAAGACCTGTTACAATTCTAGCAGCAAATAGTTGAACTTTCTCAAGCTTTTCTATGTCTGCCTTTGTACACCCCGACCAAACTTCAACTGCATATTCCAGTTGTGGTCTGATAAAAGAAATATACATCTGGGACAAAATATCCCTTGAAACATTAAATTTTAGTTTTTTCAGTAAACCAAGTTTTTTGTAAGCCTTCTTTACAATGATATCAATATGATCAGACCATCCCATATTTGAAGACAGAAGTATCCCAAGATGTGTATGTTGTGTGACATATTCTATTTGACAGTTATCAAAAATTAGATTTGGAAATTGCTGCACAGCTTTCAAATGAAAAAATACAGCTTTTGTTTTCTGTGGGTTGAATTTCAACAGCCATTTTTCGACCATTCATGTAATACTTTAAGATCTTGATTAAGATTTTGTTCAATATGATTAATATTATCTGAACATTGTTGTAAAGAATTATCACCAGCATATAATCTACAGACAGATATCATATTTTGAGCAACATCATTTACATACATCAAAAATAAGAGTGGTCCAAGTACAGATCCCTGAGAGACTCCAGCTTTTACATAACCAATGGAAGAGAGCAGATTTCTGTACTTGACTTGTGTTCTATTGCTTAAATAATTTTCCAACCATTTTAGCATTTTACCATTAATTCCGAAGTTTGAAGTTTATGAATGAAGCTTTTATGCCATACTCTATCAAATGCTTTGGATAAATCACAGAACACCATACAGCAGAATTTACCTTCATCAATACTTTTCACAACAGAATGGTACATTTCTAGAAGTTGATACACAGTAGAGTGCCTGGGTAAAAAACCTGACTGATATTTATAAAAAAGATTTTTTTAATGTAGGTAATTGTACACATGTTTGAAAATAATTCTTTCAAATATTTTACTTACACAACTCAACAAAGAGACAGGTCTTTAATTTGAAGTTATAGAGGGGTCATCCTTCTTAAATAGTGGAAGAACATATACTAATTTCCAACATTCAGGAAATGTTTTTAGCATTAATGATTTATTAAATAAAATACACAGTGGTTTTGATATAGTATTTTTACAAGACTTTAACATTTTGTGACTGATGCCGTCTGGACCCACAGCTTTATTGATAGGAATTACTGAGATTATGTCTGTAATCTCATATTCTTGAATTTGTATTTCTGGAAATCTATCATGACATCTAATTTCTATATTTGGAAGTCCATGGTCACTGTCGTCTAAAAAAGTGATAGATGTAAAATACTTATTTAAGAGTTCAATCTTGTCGGAGTCTAGTATTGCAAATTTATCTGTGTTAGTTTCATTTATATACTGAATTGGTGGTATTTTACTCGTCGATTTAGTGTGAAAAAAGTCTTTCAATAATTTCCAGTATAATTTTTGATTATTCTTATTAGCATCTTTTAGATGAGAACCAATGTTATCGTAATAATTAGTTATGGCACGTCTTTTTCATGTTATTAACCTTATTTCGTAGTTTACGATAATTGTTGCGATCAGATTCTGTTTTAGTTTTTTGAGCTTTTTTTCCTAAGTCTATTCCGATCACGAATAGTTTTCTTTAAAAGAGAATCCATCCATGGTTTATCGTTTGGTCTTATGGTTATTGTTTTTTTCGGGTATGCATTGGTGAATTATAGAATTAAACTCCTCTGTCAAGTTTCTTTAGCAGAATCCATGTTTTCTGTGTCATCAATAATGCTATTCCAATCACTTTGTAATATGAGTGTATTTAGGAGTTCTATATCTGCATGCTTGACATCCCATACTTTGCGTTTGTATTCCATATTAAGGCCGTTGATCTGATGAATATACATGTTAGTAACCCTATGAACATTAAGTGTATGAGCACCATTTAAGGTGCCAGAATCATGTACATGTATAGTTTCACTGATAATTATAGGATCTATGAGAGTGCCTGTGTTACAAGTGATTCTTGTTGGTTCAAGTATAATGTTTGTTAATCTGCCGCTTTTCAAAATTGTATTTACTTCATGTGATGTATTTAGTTTTAAGAAATCAACATTAGGGTCACCAAGTATTACAATAGTATTCGAAATATCACTGGCTTTTTCAATAGAACAAGAGAACTTTTGCCAAAATGTACTACTACTATGTGGTGGGCGATAAATACAGCATATAAGAAGGTTTCCCTTTGATTGGGGTATTTCTATCCATAATATTTCTGTATCAATTGGTTCTAAATCTATTCTACGACTTGCCTTAATAAAATTCGAGACAAAAATCATTACACCTCCACCATGGAAGTTTCTATCTTTTCTAAAAATACTCCTAAAACTTTGTATAAATAAGCTTTCATCTGTTATACTTGGGTCCAAGTGATTTTCACTAAAACACAATAATTATATCAAAATCATGTACTAAGTACATGAGGGAATCAATCTTATTTCCTATACTTCTGATATTGAGATGTAAAACATCAAGAGAATTTTCAACATTTGGACCTGGATTTGTTTCAATATCACCTGAGCGTAAAAGTATGAAAAACAGAAATAACTGTGCAAAAAAATGAATGTTGAGGGACCAAAATGCCAGAGACCTGCATTGTTGCTTTAAAACACCAAATACAAACAGTAAATTTTTAAAAAGATTTGCAGTTTTAAAGATTCTTATAGCTGACCTTTTAGTTTTCATTAATGTTTCTTTTTTTCTTTTCTAGGTTCTTTTGATCCTGCATCTAGCGCAAGCAAGACGTGATGTAATGGATCGATTCTCCACTAGGTAAATATGAAAAATCTTTTTATATATTGTGATGTTTGCATTATTTTTTTTTTTCACTTTTAGCAAAAGAAAGGTAAAGGAATATAGAAATTAAAATTTCTTTTGTGTCATGAATATGACTTAAATTGGATAATATATAAAATACTTTTTCTGTAAGTGCAAGAGAGTCTATAATATCAAAAGAAGACAGATGCATAATATTGTAAATATTTTTTAAATGTATATATATTGGGGGAGGGGTGATTGATGAATATCAGATTTTCAACTTTTTTTTCTTTTATGTATTGTATGTATTATTAACATACAAAAAAATATTAGTTCAAAATGGAGAAAATCCATGTTTTTTTAATAATACGTTTTTTGAATATTTTTTTTCTTTCAGTGAGAGAGATCCCGAGAAGTCAAAACAAGATGGAGGGTTAATGATGTAAATATTTTTTCTCATTCTTTTTTATTTGTTTGTATTTAATGTTGAAAAAGAATGGTAAAATTCAAAATAAAAATAATCAATGTTTTTGTGTTTAAAAAAAATCATTCAATGCGATTGGTCCTGAGAGGCCAAAACTAATTAAATGGGTGATGAAGTAAATAATGTTATTATTATTATATTATTAGTTTAATTTTGTTATTGAAAAGGGATTGGAAAATTTCGAAATGGAGATAATTATTTTTTTTTTGTCTACTATTTTTTTCCCTTTCAGTGCGAGGGATTCCGAGAGACCAAAACAAGATAGAGGGGTCATGATGTGAATATCTTTTGTTGTTGTTGTTGAAAATAGTAATGGAATTGCAAATATTACAATTTTTAATTTGCCGTTTGTATGCCTTTTATCAAAAAACATTTTAAAATTAAATTTTCTATGTTATGATGTGCTATTAATTTTGTTTTCGTTTCAGTACGAGAATCGCACGGGCGCCCCCGGACTATCCGTGGGGTTAAATGTAGCTGAAGGTAGTCAACATGCCGGGCCCTTGGGGTACAGATCCATATTATGAAAAGATGATGACTGACCCTATGCTATTTACTGGATATTTACAATAAAGATTTATAATGCACAATGTCGATGAATTTCTACTTGCTTTGATTTATCTAACCAATAGAAAAATATTTTAAAGCAGTATTTAAATGTCTAGAGATACATGTACAGGGCAATTCCATATGAGGGAATTATTAACAATATGATTTTACGATTAAAAAAAGCCACGTTTTACAAAGTTCGGCACTTAATATCAAAACTTATTACGTGTGTAACGTGCCATTTCATTGAATATAAAAATTATTTATAAAGTGGTTTCTATTGAGGTGGTGTAAGCAAGAGTAATTCCCACGACCGCTATATATTGTACGTCGAAATTCACAGATCATTTCATTATTCATCCAAGTTCAATTTGTTAAACTGGTTACTGAGGTAAAGATACCACCACTTTTCTTGTGAATACTGGTTTGTTAAAGCCTCTATTAAGGTATCCGATCCATATTAGCCCCAGATTCAATGGAATTGAATGCATAATAGATATGTATGGGCTTAATACTCAGTGAAGTTAGAACTAATTTTTATTTTTTTAGTATAAAAATGTAAGAGTGGGACATGTCCTAATTTTTTACCTTTTCCTGCCCTTGACGAATTATCTCCCTTTGATTTTATTCAATAAAAATTAATTAAAAAAAAAATGTTCGATAAAAAAAATTATTTCTAATTGTTTTTCTATTCCCAATGATCAAATACATCTTTCCACCACAGCATTTTTTGATATTTAAAGTATTTAATTTTTTTATCTTAAAAAACTTACTTCTTTCCATATACTTCAATGCAATTTTCAATAATTAATTTCTGCTTAGGTGATAAAATTTTTAAAAATTTCTCTTGGTAAATCCCTTTCTACTCTAAAATGCTTTAAAATAATATCAGGATATTTTACAAAAAATTGATATTTAAGGTTAGAAATTTTGGTCCTTATATGGGTCGGATACCTTAAAGCTGAACACGACTCGTAAATAGGCGTACGCCATTTTCGATATCATTATCTACGATACATCGACACGAGGGTATTTTCTACCGATTCATTACACCTGACTGCTTTATTGTCACGGATATCGGCGTTGAATAGCAACCCGTGTTTGAGCTGGTTATCCTGCATTAATTTCGTTTACATGTTATTCCAGTTACGTGTTTCTGTGTTTGTATACTGCACTGTCCTGTAAAATTATAATATATACACATAATTGTAAGTTTCTTTGGTATCTTACTTTCCTGCATTAGGTGAAATATTACATTATTATTGTCGTTACCGAGTACTGCATGTATAGCATACGTCCGTTCACACCGGTATCGACTGATTACAATTGGAATTATTGAAGTTATTACATACGAGTTTATTGTTCCGTGTCATCCCCTTGGTACCTTGAATGGGACGAAAAGTAGATATTTGTGCTACTCCCTTTAATTACGAGAAACCGGATGCCAATGTCTCGATAAAATTCAACATTTAATTAATCCCATCGGAGTCTGGTCGGAGACATTTCTCGCCATTGACGAAACGTTTTGTCGTACTGAATGGCTGCTGGCGCAGTAGACGGCCAGCAAGTTTTTGAACAATAGACGCGTATTACATGAATTTTGTGGATTCATTTGTACTCGTGCTTCGTTGTGATTTAGATTGATTTTATATTGTTTAATGCCGAGTCGTCAATATTTCAGCCATATTTCGGCAGATAAAATTTTGGCCCCAAGTGAGCCTACTCTTTTTTTCGACCTCCACAGAAACATTTTTTACATGCCAAGGGGTTTGTTACATGTATCCTTGACACGGGGTACCATTTAATGTCCCATCCGACGGACTAAACTCGACGGAAATACGATGCTGCCTTCCTATAAGTTGACAATCCTATCCTATCCTATCGTGAACCCTGCGTCCACAATCCTATCCTGTGATTTCAGTATAATCCTATCCTGCAACTCTCAGTTTTTAGCTCACCTGAGCATTAGGTGAAATATTACATTATTATTGTCGTTACCGAGTATTGCATGTATAGCATACGTCCGTTCACACCGGTATCGACTGATTACAATTGGAATTATTGAAGTTATAACATACGAGTTTATTGTTCCGTGTCATCCCCTTGGTACCTTGAATGGGACGAAAAGTAGATATTTGTGCTACTCCCTTTAATTCCGAGAAACCGGATGCCAATGTCTCGATAAAATTCAACATATAATTAATCCCATCGGAGTCTGGTCGGAGACATTTCTCGCCACTGACGAAACGTTTTGTCGTACTGAATGGCTGCTGGCGCATTAGACGGTCAGCAAGTTTTTGAACAATAGACGCGTATTACATGAATTTTGTGGATTCATTTGTACTCGTGCTTCGTTGTGATTTAGATTGATTTTATATTGTTTAATGCCGAGTCGTCAATATTTCAGCCATATTTCGGCAGATAAAATTTTGGCCCCAAGTGAGCCTACTCTTTTTTTCGACCTCCACAGAAACATTTTTTACATGCCAGGGGGGTTGTTACATGTATCCTTGACACGGGGTACCATTTAATGTCCCATCCGACGGACTAAACTCGACGGAAATACAGTGCTGCCTTTCTATAAGTTGACAATCCTATCCTATCCTATCGTGAACCCTGCGTCCACAATCCTATCCTGTGATTTCAGTATAATCCTATCCTGCAACTCTCAGTTTTTAGCTCACCTGAGCCGAAGGCTCAAGCGAGCTTTTCTTGTCACATCTTGTCAGGCGTCTGTCTAGCTGTCCGTCTCACTGTAAACTTCTCACATTTTCGACTTCTCAAGAACCGCTAGACCAATATCAACCAAACCTGCCACAAAGTATCCTTTGCTAAAGGGGATTCAAGTTTGTTAAATACAACGGCATCGCCCTCTTTCGAGGGGAGATAATTAATAATTAGTGAAAAAAATAATGGCATCTTTTAAATTTCTTCTCAAGAGCGTTTGGGCCAGGAAAAATGAAACTAATGTGGTAACATCCTCAGGTAGTGTTAACATGCATTTTGTTCATATCATGACCACCGGGGATAGGGCGCGGCCATCATTGACCATACCATCGAAGTTTTACATAGGAATATATAGGAAAAAATCTTGAACTTCTTCGAAAATAGCAAAGCCATGATTAGTAATATTTATATAAAGGTAACCTCAGGTAGAGTAGATTTAGGATTGTCTAAGTCATGACCCTCGGGGGAACGGTGAGGACACAATGAGCGGTCCAAGTTTCTAACATAAGTGTACATAAATAATTAATATTAGTAATTAACAAGGAGGATGGGGAAATGGAACAGACAACGGTGGATTGGATGAAAATGAATTTGGTCAAAGTGAACATGGTATGTAACAGGGTATTATATTTTTTTATTTAAATATAAGTAAGAAATAACGTTTAATAAAAAATGAAAGTCATCTTAACCACTGTTATTCGATATAATACAATTTTTTACAACAAAAAGGTTTATAAAAGTCTGAACTGCCAAAGTTATATTATAATTGTATAACATAGGTTAACATAAGGCTTGATTCCTTATAATTTAATTTCAGTGTAGAAAATAAGACAATTTTTTCCTCCAAAAAATGACTTCAAATTGAGCATATTTCAAAAGTAACGTTAAGCGGAATACTGTATACAATATTATTTTCCCCCCATGTTATTTTCGCCCTCTCACACTTGCGTTAAATTCGCCCAGTCATAGTTTTATTTAAGAAATTATAGTGTATTCTTTGAATTCGCCCGCTTTAAATTCGCCCAAATGAGAATAGGGTGAAAAAAAAAACGGGGGCGAAAATTTCCTTGTATACAGTAATGAGTTTTAACGTAACTCATAGTGATGTTAGGGAACTTATGGTATACCATGTAAGATTAATTTTGTATCCAATCAAATGACATCTTACATGTACAACAAAAATTTTACTATATATATCTTTTTAAAAATCATTTTGACAGATTCAGGGATGATTGATGAACACTTGGCATCAGTATATAGGTAAGCATCAAGTGGTACTGAGTCTAGGTTTTCTCTAAAGTTTTCACATTCAATTATTTTAATCACTATTGAATTTATCACAGTGCAGGACAATTTGTGGTTGTCACTGTATGCAGTGACACAACAGTTGTGCCAGAGCGTTATGTAGCAGAGGTAATTGTTCATGGACATTATAAAACTAACATATAAGCTCGTGTTTTGTTTACCAAGTTCTTTTCTTCCAGCACTTCTATTTTAGTTCTGAGATATCAATTTTAGCATAAGTTTTTTCATTAGTTTTTCTTGTCATCTCAGCCTTCTGATTCTCACACACTGATTGATTGAATTAAACAGTCCATATTTAGAGATCAAAACTTTATTTAACATTGTACAGTTTTCTAATCACATTGGATGTTTTTTTTCTTTATACACTGTGCATCCCTCAACCTTTTTCTAAGAGTTTTGAAAAGATGCAGATACCCGGTAACTTTTTTTTTTACATTAAAGAAGTCTAGGAAGAAGAACTTCTTCTCAATTTTGTGATCAAAGACAAAACATTTTGACTTTACTTTTGGCCAACCAGAAAGGATGAAGGCTAGGAGCCTTTCCGCTCGGTTACAAAAGTGCTAGGACCCCCGATTGTCACCCAAAAGTCCAAAGTTTAAAACTCTTTTATAAATTTGATAACTAAGATTCTGTAATATTATGGAAATAAAATCAAAGTTAGTGGATTACTAGTAAATACCAGTGACTGTTATTTTTTGTACAATATTTGAACAATAATAACTTTTGAACATTAGACACTAGGACTTTCATATTTCACCTATGTATTCTTTGTGGAAAGACCTTTCATTTGATAGCGACAACTTTGACCTTTTGACCTTGGAGATTTCCGTACTTATCAAAAAAAATAACCTTGACCATAACTTTTGAACGGTAAGGGGTAGGGTTTTCATACTTCATATATATAATTCTTGTGAGAAGGCCTTTCATTGGATACCAAGAACTTTGACCCTTTAACCTTGACCTTGGAACTTGACATAATTTTCAAATTCTTTGACCTTGGCCACAACTTTTGAACAGTAGATACGAGGACTTTCATATTTCACATATATACTCTTTGTGGCAAGACCTCATATGATATCAACAACCTTGACCTTTTGGCCTTGACCTTGGAGATTTCTCATACTTATAAATAACTTTAACTTTTACCATAACTTTTGAATGGTAAGGGCTAGGGCTTTCATACTTCACATATGTAATCCCTGTGAAAAGACTTTTTATTGGATACCAAGAATTTTTACCCTTTGATCTTGACCTTGGAGTTCAATGATAATTTCTAAATAAATGACATATGAAAGGGTGTTCATATTAGACACAATATGTCATAAACTATAAATCACAATTCACCCACAAAGACATCAAAAGCGGGGGACCACAATTCTTTGATTTTGTTTGTATTCAGTTATCCTGAATTTGGTGTCTATGTTACTTGCATGATTACTTCTTCTAAGAGTCTAAAGTAAAGAACTAATACAACTTTGGCTTATTCCATTTTTGTAATTAGTAGACATGCGTATTACAGTAACACAGCAGATTTATAATAACTAAGTCAAAATTCAAACGCTATTGAACATACATCAATATAATACTTCATCAGATTTTATGTTTTGTTTTAAAATTCGTAGCTTAATTACTTTAATTTCAATCACACCAAGTTACCGTACATAAAACATGCTTATTTTATTAAACTGTACATTGTATCCCTTTTCCTACATCTTGGATTATCTTTCAATAATATTTTTCTGCAAGAGGAAAGTGAAGTGACTTTATCAGTATACGAGGGGTTATCAAAAAGTTCGTGTACTGAGGCTTTAAAATTAGTACCATGTAGTCTGAGCTTACAAAATTTATATGGAGCATAAAACAACAAAAAATAAATTAATGTTGAAAATTTTAGTTTGATACGTTCATCATTCCCCAAGTTATTATAAACTAAAAACGACATTATATCAGCACCCGGCGCCGTCGCCGTTTAGTTTAATGCCTTCCGACAACGTTATTGTTTTTCAATGTCTGCTTCTTCTACCTCATACACTTATTTTGATTAGATCTCCTGGAGCTGAGTAAGGACTTCAGTTCGTATTGTTTATATGACTTTAAAATGCCACGAACAGCGGCTTTCAATGCAAATACTATTGCAAATGGATTTATATAATGGCAGAGATCCTCGCTTGATTGTGCCAGCATATTTTGCTTTTTGGAGTTCAATATTTACAACACATTATCAACGTCATTTTTTGACGTGATTGATTTTTCACACCTTGACTACAAATCGACGTAAACTGTGCATTCCTTTTCTCTCTGAATATATTTTGGCATTAAAAAACAAGTAATCTGGATGCAGATTATTTCTTTTTAGCCAGTTTAAACATTTCCTGGGTGTTTATCACTTTTTCTATGTGCAAAACTTTATAGAATGTTGGTAAAGGAAGCCTCTCCCCTCTTTTGACGTCATTTTCAAGGCAATTTTTGTTTGGATACTCCATGTAAAACTTACGATAAAATTTCATAGAAATTCCAGAATGAGGTAAAAATTTAATATTTTATGGAACAAATGTGTCCCAACACATACCTTAATAAACGGGATTTTGGGATGTCAAATGTGGATATCACAATGGTTTTTCTTAGTTGCTACTTAGATCGAAAAAAACGTCATTTTCGGGGTTGCGCCGCATGGACATACCATTGCTTACAAAATCATTACTAATTTATTGAAAAATAAAATTCATTATTTGTAATTTATTCTATAGATAGAAAAGATGATGAAAACTAGATATTTTAAAATTCATTCATGTACCTAAAGCGGTTTTAATTTTATGATTTTCATATAATTTTTGATAGCCCCACGTACATGTAAAAAAAAACAATTCTAACAACTTGTAAAATTTAGCCCTTCTGTCACACATTTTACTGCGGTTTCGAAGAATGAGTTTACTGTATCATGAAAGAGGCGTATCGTTCACCTCTAGAAATGACTGAGACATGGTGATGGTACTCAGTATCGGGTATAAAACTCTTCAGAACAAGAATTGGTATGTGTTAGAATACTTTGCTGGATATTCTATTCGAAATACATCACCAGATTACCCTTCTGGAGCAGATTCCAGATCATGCCATTATTCAACGAATTTCTCATTTATTCTCTAACACAAATGGATACTAATGAACTCTTTGAATGTCTAGTTTACTCTTACTTAGCTAACATCCAGCGTATGCATAGGAGTGTAGATTAAAGGAGTAAAGCAGATTTACGTTTCATCGTAGGCAAATCCTGATATATGAACAACGCAGTTCTTTATAGGAGGAGGAAACACTGATATGGTCAGATTGAAAGGAATTCTTCTACTTTCTTTTAGAACTGTAACATTTCCAGACTATAACTCAAGACAGGCCAAGATTCGTACTTTGCCAGAAATAAAAAGACTGTTAAGAAGTTGCTGCTTTCAATTTCTTGAAATTCAATGCAGAAATCTTGGTGTCGCAGGATCATTTTTTTTTCTATGATACTATTTATGATGATTTGAGCATGCGTCATCTCGTTCATTTACGGTTTGTAAATTCATGACCTCTGGTATCACACTGTGAGAATGGAATGTGTATGGAGGTACAACGGGAAAATTTTTATTTGACCAATAGAGTTAAAAAAAAAGCTTTAATGCCACCGTTTGTCAGAACAATTCTACACATGGACAAAATGTTTTTTTTATTTAAGAAGAAACTTTAAGGCAATATTAAATGGGATAAAATAATATTAAACAAGAAAATATGAACCCAGTATACTGTAATGATATCCAGCTTTACGTAAAACAAATTCCATTCAGAAGCAAATATAAACACAATTTCAGATATTTATAAGTCACATAAATTATACCTGCACTCATACGAAAAGATCGCTGTAATCTTATGAAATATCATCACAGTTTTATTTTCTGAATAATGTCATTTAAAAGAAATGTCAATAGAATAATATCACGATTTGCAAAACACAAACATAGTTTATATAAAGCTAAACTGGTCGCTAAAATACTGGTCAAACTTCATAGCCACCTCTGTGTATCTGCCCGTGTTGTCCTCGTATTTACGGCAGGTAGAAAAGGGTTGAAAATAAAGGTGAAGGGTCACTGCGCCTTCCACGTGACTTCTGTTTCCAACGCGATGAAGACCGTCTGCGTCTAAGAGAAGAGATGGTACTTGTCATTGAAATAAGAAAAAACAATGTTAGAATGAAAATTATATGTACAGATGTTTCCCGTGGGATTTGTTTTTAAGTTAGCGATTTCTTTTCTTTTTTTCAAGGTATTGTCAGAAGACCTTACTTCTTCGCTCGCTATACTGTAAACCAACTTTTATTAGCGGCCAGTTTATTTCGCTATTTACAGGGGAAAACAAAGTCGTGACAATTTATTTTCGCTACGAAGTTTTTCTTAGATCTCTAAATAGAGACATAAGTTCACGGCAAGAAATATTAGAAAAAGGCTCTTGCGAACATTACTCGCACGCGAATAAAAGTTGGTTTACAGTAATTCCTTGCCAAGAAATGCGTTGAATCCAGGCGTTTACGATTATTTTTTTTTCGCCGAACTGCGTTCGTTATCTTTAACATTTTTCATCTAATAGTCCGAAAACCTTACACAAATCCAAGACTTGGTTATCAAAATACTTGCCAGTGATATGGGCTACATCGTTGACTTTGTATACGTTATCCGCTATCTTCTCCATTTTACATCCACATGACGTCACATCCGGATGTTTATACATCTCCTCATATACCTCACCCTTCAGTGTCTTCATAAAGCAGTGAGAGTTGGCGTGATTATGTATGGGGCTTTTCTGGTTTTTGTTCCAACACAGTATCATAAGGTTGTACAGTCCATTCCCTTTGTCCAACAAAGTCCTTGTGTATCTGATCAGCAAATGAATTTATAAAAAAAATTAAGGTTGTCTCAACTCTTTCAAATCAAATAAGATGATGCAAAATAGATAGGCCAAATTTTCCTCTAAGTCAATTTTTTTAAAACTTTGAAATTTTGTTGTAGTTTACTAAATTTCTCTTAATGTGTATTTTGAAAAAAAAGTTTATATATAGTTTATATATATATATATATATATATATATATATAGAAAGCACAAAGAAATTCACTTTTACATGGATACCATAATTAATTTCATTACAACATGTATTGGTAACAATCCTCTGTTAAAACTAATGTCCAAATAACTGTATCTCACTTCTATTCTCAATGACTGTGTAGTGTAGGGCAGCGCCGCGAGAATTCCATCGGCATCGAAAGCAAGTTTTTTTTTACTTGCCTAGATAGCCGAGCGGTCTAGCGCGCTGTTCCTGCACTGCTAGGAGACAGATTCCGAAGGTCGAGAGTTCAACCCCGGGCTGGGGCGGAAGTGGGTATCCATGTAAAAGTGAATTTCTTTGTGCTTTCTATATTAATATTTCTTCACTTAGGGCAGTTATGTTAGTTTAAGAGTTGTTGTAAAATGTGCTTTATAGATAATAATTAATTTCATTACAACATGTATTGGTAACAATCCTCTGTTAAAACTAATGTCCAAATAACTGTATCTCACTTCTATTCTCAATGACTGTGTAGTGTAGGGCAGCGCCGCGAGAATTCCATCGGCATCGAAAGCAAGTTTTTTTTGACTTGCCTAGATAGCCGAGCGGTCTAGCGCGCTGTTCCTGCACTGCTAGGAGACAGATTCCGAAGGTCGAGAGTTCAACCCCGGGCTGGGGCGGAAGTGGGTATCCATGTAAAAGTGAATTTCTTTGTGCTTTCTATATTAATATTTCTTCACTTAGGGCAGTTATGTTAGTTTAAGAGTTGTTGTAAAATGTGCTTTATATATATATTTATATATATATATATATAATATATATATATATATATATATATATATATATATATATATATATATATATATATATATATATATATATATTGAAGAAAATTAATTCGCACATTCTTTTGCCAACATGGTTTGAAACATGGCCTATAAGACTCCTGTAAGAAGACTATGAAATCAGACACAGCACTTCAGAATATGCATTTTTACATTTTGAAAATTACCGCTTTTAATGCATTTTATAAATACCTCCTTATGTTATCCTAAATTACAGTGATGCCGGTACATTTTTTTAAATGTTAAGAATAGAACCTAGTTAGACAAGGAATCGATAATTTACGTTCAAGTATCCAACACTACTTTATTACAGAGAAAAGTATAATTAAATTTTCACCAAAAAAACAACAGAATGGTTGATATAGAACCTGGATTAAGATGTGCTAAAATGAAGAATATTGAACCGATAGATTAAGGAATTTTGACTGTGTAAATAAATATTCAATACAGAAAAATAAGATTGACTAGAGCAGAGATCGTTGCGAAGCAACGAGTAGGTCTTCCGTCATGTTTGACCGGAAGTAGCTTTAATTTTTAACAAAAATGAGAAATAACGCCTAAAAATGGTTTGAATCCTCTAAAGCTATGTTAATTAATACAAAATTAAGGTATTAGATGTATAACAAGCATTGTTGAAGAATGAAATTTTACTTTATATTTCCTTATCTTTAGTGTTTTGAGGCTTTAATTCCAAAGTTACATAAAGTTTTGTCCAGAGATATCTGAAAAAAGAAGAATTTTCAAATCATACCCCCACTGTCGGAAACAGTGAAGAGTGTGTTATACCAGAAAAGGAATTCTGTGAAATAAACTCACTTTCAGACTTTAATTTTACGTTAGATGGAGAAAAATAACATAGACGCTTCATAATAAAAGACTTTTTTTTTAAAGTTACAATTAATAAAATTTCCACATTAAAATACGTTACTCAATGCTAAGTGTGTATTTCTTATAAAAACAATTAATTTTTAACTTTTTTTTAATTAAAAAAAGAAAAGAATGGGCTAAAAATTTCTTTGATAGAAAATGACTCTTATCAATGTTATACAAAAATAAAATACACAAAATATTTTTTACCAGGATATTTTGGAGTAATTTAGCATTTACTATCCCTACCCCCAGTTTTAGTATCCGTTTGCTGACAGATAAATATAAGTTTTCATTCTCAACACTTTTAGTATGATTATGCCATACTTAAATATTGATTAAGTGTATCAAACAACATAAATAAATAAGTATAATGACTTTTTTAACATTGTCCTTGACCTTTTAACCTAAAAAAAAACGTATTTATACACTTGTAAAGAACAATTCTGGGAGATAAAAAAAAATGTACAAGTAATCTTGTTCTTATGTTAGTTTAAAAAAGTATGGTATTTTTTCCTCATATGTACAGAGAATTGCAAAAATCATGAAAATGAAATTAATATAAATATTTATTATGATACCCCCCCCCCCTCCATATCTATCTACTTCCAGTTTGGAACTGACGACGCCGGGCGTATTTTGACGACTTCAATAGATTAAGCATGACATTTTGAACAACTTTTCTTCTTTGACGTATTACTAATTCTCAATTCGTTCTGATTTATAAAGAAAAAACTGTCGGCCCCTCTACCCCCCTAATTGTAAGGACCAGCCCTTTTTAAAAGATATCATTTGAAAGGTCTTGGAATTTTACACTTCTTTTATTCTATATGTTTTAACAGAATATTTCCAGTTAAAAAGATATTGTAAAGGAAGTGTTAAAAATTTTGAAATTCGGGATACGACTATTTTCGGACCATAGCGAGCGCCGACATGCGGCACTTCCGATAAAAATGAAATACTTTATACATATCTATACACTTTGGTTTATCATACCTGAAAGTTTCATGTTTCTATCTTGAGCCATTATTGAAAAACTGTCGGACAAAATGACCCTCCAAAACTCACTAAATCGCAGAAAACTCTGAACCGGAAGTGAGATCATCAAATTAAAAAAAAAACCTCAAGTTCATTTAATTTGTCATCAATGCTGAAAGTTTCATGAAAATCCATCGACGCGTTTACGAGAAATCGCCTGCACAACATCGGTAAGAATAATAATAAGAAAAGTTGAAAAGAAACAACAGAATTATAAGACAGCCTTCCGTTGAACGGAAGATCTTAATCATCAGTAGGTGATGTCACAATATTTGACCTCTAAGTATGACCTTGACCTTTATCATGAATAAGGAATGGAAACTTCTAATAAATATTTTCAAATAACAGGTATATTTTAAATAGATCAAAAGTTACTTTGCATTTAATAACAAACTGTCATTTCGCATCTACATGACAAATGTAGGCTCTCAATTAACCAATATATGTAGGATACTTTTTTTACTTTTTAATTAAAATTGTGTCAAAAATTACCAATTTCCTTCCAAAGATCATTGATAATTGACAATACAGTGATATTATTCTTTTTTTTATTTAGTGTATGTATAAGAAATAAGTTAAAACAGATTGTGTTGGAGTGTTTTTTTACTACCTTAAATACTATTACTACATGTATATAATTAACAGAATTGTAGGGCTGAAGGATAGATAATATTTTTCAACATCAGATAAAAGGTCATCTAAAGCAAACAGTAAACTGTAGATTATGATTTGTTAGGAGAAGCAATCATTATTGTTTGTCCATTATACAAACGCATGCAAGGGGATAATAATCAGACACAGAAATTATTCAACTTTTTTAAAAAAATAATTTCTTTAGTATTGTAATCAGACATGAATACCCGAATGACAGCGGCATACAGTTCGTAAAACCGTTGTCGGATTTATTCCTGAATATTCCATCCTTCCCATACACATTTAAAATGACATTTATTTATATTTAATTTTTTTAGGCAGTGAACCAATTGTCATTAACAAGCTGATGGCGACAAGTAAGGTAGCGTTGTTGTTGTGTTTGTTGTAAAGAATTGAGCAAGAAAACCCTCAGTTTTTTTCCTTAAAATAATCACACGCCATGGAAATAAGATCTACAAAAACCAAGGGTATCATCTGCGGTAATTAGAATGTTATAACCCGTGACAGTTATAATCCCAGACTTTATGTTAAACACCTATAATTATAAACAACACATCCATTCAGTTCATTTTATTTTTAAAAGGAATGAAAACGATACTTGAGGTTTAACCCTGAAACACTCATATTTTCTATAACAGATTTCTTGGAAGTATTTTAATTTTAGTGCTGCATGTGTCTTCCTCATTCTTCAATGCAAAAGAGAAAGAACAACACAAACTTAAATCTGCATTTATTTAAAATAGGCCATTGTCATACAATAATAATGTTTCAGACCTTTTTAATCGACGATTTTTTATGACATACCCACCTTACAATATGTTAAATTTCCCAAATCACTCCCTTTTAAATGAACACAAAAGCTTGAATTTAATTCTGCACGTCAATTCCGAATCCGGCAAGCAGTTTCCCTGAATATCATTGAACAATAGGATCGAATGCGAAGCAACAACACATTTCGTTTGTTACAAAAATTTATTTCAAACTGTGAATGTTATTAAGTATTTGTAAGAAAAAGCAACTATTCATTTTTATGTGTTATCTGTTATACAAACGTATGTAAGATAACTATAATCCTTGATATTTCTTTTTTTTCGAATTCAATAAATCTATTATAAAAGCGGACGAATATTGCAACTAATTGCTGCAGATAGCTACTACATTTCTGATTTGGATCCAAAGAGTGACCACATTTCCTTATCCAAAAAAATCATGAATAATGAAAAAAAATCGTGTCAGAGAGAAATTATTCAACCTCCATTTAATTCCTCTTTTATTCTTGCAGATGAATAGTTACATGTACTAGACAAGAATATCTAAATAAAAGTGGCATCTCGTTCGTTAACCATTTTTTTTCTTAATGATTGCTTCATCCTTTCCATATACATTTTATATTACAATTATATATTTATGATTTATTTTAATCGGCTTTTTTGTGCGTACCAATTTTCATTAACAAGCGTATGTCGACAGGCAAGTTAGCGATGTTGTTGAGTGTTATAGAGAATTAAACAAGTAAATTTTCAGCTTTTTAAAAATAATTCCACGGTATTCTAACACGTCAGGTGGAAATTTAATGACCTACCGAAACCAAAGTATCTTCAGTAATTGAAATTTCATACCCCGTGACGGACAGCTTTTATCCTGTACTTTACCGATATGACAACTTTATTTATAAACAACTCAACAGTTCAGTTAATTTTAGGAAATGACAGATTTCTTGGAAGTATCCTAAATTGTGGAACAAACTACCTTGGCATTTAAACAATAAAAATATATTGGAGTTATTTTCCTTCTGATTTAATAATATCAAAAAAAAAGGTTGGATGTACAAGAAAGGCTTGAAGCAAAAAAAAAATCAAAGAAATAATGGAAGTGTGACAGGTTTAGCAAAATAATTGTATGAGGTTGGGAGAGAATTGCATATATTAAAACGAAGAAGTAAAAACAAGAAATAAAAAAACGAAAAAGCAGATTATACTTTAACAAATTTCATATATGAATCAATTACTACTGTCTTTTATTATCAAAGTTAATTTTTAAAAGCATATTATAGACATGTGTGATTCAAGGCATATTTTAAAAATATTTTTGTGTGTGAGTGAAGCAAGTGTCGTCTCACTACTTTAATGCTTAGACAAACTTAGACCCAAGTTTTATTTCAAATTTGGTTACAATGAATAATGATACAGTTTTGATTTCTTTAGATTCTTTTTATCGACAAAGTATATTTTTAATATGGTATACCACTTTAAAACATTTAATTTCTCAAATCCTTTAATTTAAAATGAACATAAAAACTTAAGTTTTGTTCAGAAAGTAAATTTCTTATCGTCAAGTATAATTTCCCTTTTAATATCAGTTAAAAGTGAAATTGTATACGGTATAAGAAACAGCAAGGATTTAAGATGTGTGTGTGTGTGTTTTTTTTTTGCATTACGCAGTGCAGGAGATTAAAGTATCAAGGCAGAGGTCATGGTTGAATACGTGCATTAATAAAAGAGGAACATTATTATTTTGAAATATATTGTATTCATCATGGAATTCAAACTTACTTTTCATCACTCCAGAATTCCTTCCCCTCCCAGTCTTTGGGGTAACTCTTGTATTGAGACATTAGGTGTTTGACCCTATCCACGGAATCTTTTGTTATTCCATTTTTCAGTTCATTTTTCAAATCTTCCTGCAGAGCTTTAAGATCGTAGCGGCCCATTTGCGTTGTCCAATTGTTCAAGTATTGGAACTACCGACTGACTACCAAGTTTATGTATTAAAATATAAAGTACAAGTTATGCAAAATACATCCTTATATAGCAGTCTGAAAAGCAGGGCTATTTGATTATTTGTTTTTAAAAATACTTTGTTCTAGAAAATGCTTTGAATGTTCAGATATGGTTTTTCATAGATGATGAATATAAGTTAGATAACATTGTTTTGACCTTCAAATTAAGTTAAAACAATTAACTATAATCTAAATACAGAACCCCCAGTTTTTGGAGAATATGAAACATAAATTGTAAATCAAAATACCCATTTAAAATGATCAAACAAGACCTTTATTGGAAATACACGTGAGTCACAATTTCCATGAAAATAATAAAAATCACTCGCCGGTATCCACTGAGTTACTTATAGATGCTGTCACTTAAAAAATTACAGCCTTCTTTTCATAAATTTAATCACTGCAAACTGTAGTAAAATACCTACACACAAAATAGGGATATATAAACCTATTTATTCTTATATTTCCGTGTTCTTTCCCAAAATTCATGACCTAGGCATTTACACCAAAGGAAAAAATTTAAATAATTAAAGATGCTGTTTACCCATCACTTTTGTTGATATTATAAACGTAGTGGACTCTGCTCTATAAATAGCACGGAAAATAAACTATAAAAATAACATACAGAGAGAGAGAGAGAGTGAGAGAGAGAGTAAAATAGACTTGTTCGTATCTCTTAAAAAATGTATAAAAGAAATTTCCCAAAGTAAACCAGTACAGAAAAGGGAGAAAAAAGGTTGCATCATTTCCCAGTCGGTTTTAAATGTTTGAACTTGCAAATTAAATTTAAATTAAATTTTTAATTTTTTTATTCGGAAAATGCAATTCCTAGAAAATTACTTTAACTGCCTTTATAAGAATTCCCATATAGCTTGACACGAACCAATAAAAAGTCATTCAGGCGCTTCTCCTTCAATTTGCTGTTTGAAGTTATGCGCCTTTGTTAAAATGTTAACTATAACTTGTATCTATCTACAAAAGGCCCGTCTAACCCGGTATTGTCATTAAGAGACAGATGCAATACAGATAAGTCATTGCAGAATTCTGTTTTTGAGAAAACTTAATTCATTTGATTATATTCGATTATATAATTGTGATTCTCATTGTTAAAGAGTGAGCACTTTGACGGCAATTTTAATACAATCAGATTGAGGAAAGTAACACTCTTTAAAATGTTCATGTCTTAGAGGTCACAGGTACAAAGTACCAGGTGTAACATAAAACTTAAACTATCATTATCTCCTTCATATCCCCTCTTTAAATAACACTTAGTTTTATAAGCTGACAAAAAAAACATTAAATGTGCTTTTATACATCCTTAACCCATGCCCTTCATTGATAAACAGATATTTTTTTCCAGTGAAGCAATCATTTGTTTTAAATATACAATTTTTTAAAAATATGTATTTAATTAATTAAATATTTATTTTTGAAATATTTGTTTCAGGTTACTTTCTATCTGTTAATCAATAATAAATTTATAATCTGTAAAAGTTTTAACTTTATTCCTCAAATAATATTAGACTTATTGTTAAAAAAATTGGACGTCTTTACTTTTGGAAAAACCTGAATTAAAACTCTAGTAAATTGAATTTAAGATTTTGTTGGGAAGTTGTCGGTCCAAAAAGCACAAGTCGAGCAGACAAATAATCATCGTGGCATTCAATGTTGCCGGCACAGCTAGGTGCTGTTATATGACGATGACATCTAAGAAAAGAATGAAATGCTTCAGATTGATTCAGTTTTTGTTTTACAATGTAAACATGCCCCGTCCCCGCCTTTTGGGTAGTCCACTTTTATTTACACGTGATGTTACACTTATATCGCCTAGATGCTTTTGTCCTTGATGTAAGCTGTTTTAAGTTCTTTTCTTAATATAAACCGGTTTTCATTTTGACTCGGTATTTTAATTTGCATTTTAACAATTGTTTGATTTGTAGAATCATTAATAGTATTGTGGAATCATGCCGGTGATAAAAGGATTTATTTTTATATCAGATTAGCTTTCTCTGGTCTTATTTCTATCATAAAGCTTTAAGGATATCATACTGAAAATTGGAGCGTCTTTGGCTTTTCTCTCGTCTTTTGCATTAACCTGAATACAACTTTATGAACTGTCTAGTTATGACACCTTTTTCGTATACATTGTACATTTTGTTTTGCTTAATTTACTAATGTAATAAATACGTTTTCCAGCATTTTTTCTCAACTGAGAGTGTTATAAATGGAATAAATACTACTTATTGGTCAACCGTAAGCTTTCCTGGTATTGTTTATCCAAGATTCTTAGAACCTCATGAAACAAACACGAATTGAAAATTTTGTAGTTTTATATGGCATTTTAGCATGAAATAATCTTTTCATAAGTTTGGTATATATATCAACACCGAAGGTCTGATTCAAACTGACCATAATTATTTTTACAACAAAACATACATACTAAACAAGGAAAGAGTCAAATAAAATGATTAACAAAAAGTGACAAGAAATAAAGTATCAATCAATTCTTGGACGAATGGTGACATTTTAACGGCATGTAAATAAATGAATTACTGTAACAGATGAAAGAATAAGTGTTAATAACTACCATCTGCCTTGGAAGACGGTATTGTAAAGTTGAAGTTTTTTACAGTCTTCGGACTATGCACTTACTCTCTTTTGTGATTGGTAGAAATTGCATGATGAGAAAATTTCCAATTATTTCATTGGTTGAAATGTTGTTCAAGGCAAGGGAGATAACTTTCTGATGATCTATTTTTCGTACGACTTAACAATTTTGCAAGATTTCCAATCTTTAAAAAATGACAAAACGAACAACAAAATCAGCAGTAATTATTTCTTAATAACATGATATTTTTTATAGCAATAAATGTAAAGGTCTCTTTAATTTCATTATCAATAAAATTTGATAGTTATTGCTTGCAGGCTTTACAATTTGTTATTATTCTTTTCCCCATTCTTGTTTGAAGAGGAATGGGAATCAGCCGAGGTTTGCCGAAAGCTCTCGGCCAGTCAAAGTTTACGTAGATGACCGACCGACAACCGTGGTAGGGCTAATGCCCGTAAAAAGCTAATTTAGAAATGCAAAATCAAATAATTCAAAAGAATTATACGGCATGTTAAGTGTAGATCTGTTTACTGTTTATAATTGTTGCTATAGACGGTAAGCTTTTTTGAAAAGCTCTACTTGTAATATATTAATAGAAATCAATAAAGGGATTAACTGTCTATCTCTGACTGTGCTTTCGTAGAGATTAAGGCTGCGCGGAATTTATGAAATTTATCACACTTGCTAAAATATACAAAGTTTTGATATCATTCTACACAAAGTCCGATCATGTTATTTACACAGTTATCTAAAATAAGTTCAAAAATACTTTATTCCAGATCGTAACATTATCATTTAATAGTCATAACAATTCGTACGTTTTGGTTATTTTTCTCAAAGTATACATTCTTAATGCCGATTATTCTCCACAACAGGAACTTGCGCAGCATTGTTGGCTGAAATCCTTGTCGATCTCCATCTTGACCTCTGTTGACTTGCCTGTGTCGTCATCATACGTCCGACACGAGGCAAATGGCGGGGAATAAAGATGTAAAGTAACAGCACCTTCTGTTTGACTTTTGTTCCCGACTCTATGAAGACCTTCTGCGTCTAAATACAAGACAAGGCAAGCGTATTAGTAAACAATTATAAATACTAGTATATCATGAAGATGCCTAACAAGTAACAAGGTGCTGATAGAAGCACCAATTAAGATACAAACAATTTTTAGATTTAACTACACGATTCTAGGGACGCTATCAAAGTACTACGGAAAAAAACGCTACTCCATCTCGACAAAAGTTTGTTAAAGCCTCATGCAATGTAGTGTAGAACTTTTGAATTTCCGAGAGAAAACAGTTGATTGGAATTTTAGAACAGATTTTGGTTATTGTTTGACTTGAATTATCCCATACTTTGCAACGCAGTAATAGTTAGGGTGATTAAAACTGGTGACATATGTGACGCGCCAAGCAAAAACCTTCCTTATATCTATTATGACATGCAGAAGGATAAAACGTACGCTCAACTAGGACCTGGGGTCCCCCGCAAATAGTTCGTCATTTTGCGTAGTAATAAAACATTCTAGGAACTCTCCAGGCATTAAAGGCACAAAAGTAAATTCATCGATATCAATACGGAGACCTCAGGTCACCTTATATATTAACTGAATTTTATATGATAGACAATTTTCTTTGTCTTACTCAAAAATAATCATTTTCATAACTTTATAAAGATCAACTTTCTAATATATATATTAGCAGAAACGTGAAAATAATAAAGGGTGACTAGAGGTAACCTCATATTGTACATCAATAGGGGGACCAAAGATCACCTCACACTGTACATCAGTAGGGGAACCAAAGGCCACCTTATATTTAACATCATTAGGGAGACCAGTGGTCACCTTATATTGTACATCATCAGAGGGATCATAGGTCACCTTACATTTTAAATTAATAGGGGTCCAAAGGTAATCTTTTATTGCACATAATAGGGGGACCTGGGGATACCTTATATCGTACATCATTTGGGGGACCAGAGGTCACCCTATATTATACATCAGTAGGGGGACTACAGGTAACCTAATATTGTACTGTACATCAGTAGATGGACCAGAGGACACCTTATACTATACATCTGTAGGGGGACCAGAGGACACCTTATATTGTACATGAGTAGGGGGGCAGAGGTCACCTTATATTGTACATCAGTAGGGGGACGAGAGGACACCTTATACTGTACATCAGTACGGGGACCAGAGGTCACCCGATATTTTACATTAGTACGGGGACTAGTGGTCACTTAATATTGTACTGTACATTAGTAGAGAGACCAGAGGTCACCTTATATTGAACATCAGTAGTAGGACCAGAAGTCATCGTATATTGTACATCAGCAGAAGGACCAGAGGTCACTTTATATTGTACGGGGACTAGTGGTCACCTAATATGTACTGTACATCTGTAGCGGGATCAGAGGACACCTTATATTTTACATTAGTAGTAGGACCAGAGGTCATCTTATATTGTACATCAGCAGAAGGACCTGAGGTCCTCTCTTGTATATCAATAGGGGGACCAGAGGACACCTTATACAATACATCTGTAGGGGGACCAGAGGACACCTTATATTGTACATCGGTAGGGGGACAAGGGGTCACCTTATATTGTACATCAGTAGTAGGACCAGAAGTCATCGTATATTATACATCAGCAGAAGGACCAGAGGTCACTTTATATTGCACGGGGACTAGTGGTCACCTAATATTGTACTGTACATCTGTAGCGGGACAAGAGGACACATTATATTTTACATTAGTAGTAGGACCAGAGGTCATCTTATATTGTACAGCAGAAGGACCTGAGGTCATCTCTTGTATATCAATAGGGGGACCAGAGGACACCTTATATTATACTTATGTAGGGGGACCAGAGGACTATTATTATTATTATTATTATACAAAATTTATAGAGCGCCTTATATAATAAACACAATTACTCTAAAGCGCTGTACAACATAGTTAAAATACATTCATAAATACAACATCAAGAATAAAAATTTTGTTGAATAGCATAAGAAAATAAAATTTAGTATTGATAACCATTTTAAAAATTAAAAATATTTTTGCAAAATGATGATTAAACGATATCAAAACACGAAAAGAGAAAACTGCATACAATAGAGCATAAGAAATTTCAGAAGATTAAAAATAACCAAATATTTAAAGTCAAAAATCTTTAAACATAAATAAATAAATAAATAAATAAATAAATAAATAAAAAGTCTATATTTGACACTTAAAAATAAGAATTTAACCGAATGCTGACACCTTATATTGTACATCGGTAGGGGGACCAGGGGTCATCTATATTGTACATCAGTAGGGGGACCAGAGGACACCTTATATTGTACATCGGTAGGGGGACCAGGGGTCATCTATATTGTACATCAGTACGAGGACCAGAGGTCACCCGATATTTTACATTAATACGGGGACTAGTGGTCACCTAATATTGTACTGTACATCAGTAAAGGGACCAGAAGTCACCTTATACTATACATCTGTAGGGGACCAGAGGACACCTGATATTGTACATCAGTAGGGGGACCTGAGGTCACCTTATATTGTACATCAGTAGGAGGAACAGAGTTCACCTTATATTGAACATCAGTAGGGGGACCAGAGGTCACTTTATATTGTACATAAGTAGGGGGGACCAGAGGTCACCTTATATTAAACATCTGAAGGATGAAAAGAGGTCACATATGTACATCAGCAGGGGTACCTAGGGTCACCTTTTATTGTACATCAGTAGGGGGACCAGAGGTCACCTTATATTTAACATCAGAAGGATGACAACAGGTCACCTTATATTGTACGGGGACTAGTGGTCACCTAATATTGTACTGTACACCTGTAGCGGGACCAGAGGACACCTTATATCTAATACCAGAAAGGGGACTAGAGGTCACCTTATATTGTACATCATTATAGTGACCAGAGGTAATCTTGAATTGTACATCATTACAGAGACCAGAGTTCACCTAAAAGTGTACATCATTATGGGGACTAGAGGTCACCTTACATTGTACATTATTGGAGGACCAGAGGTAATCAGTGATGGACCACAGTAAATTTTATATAACATATCATTACGGAGACCAGAGGTCACCTTATATCGTACATCATTACGGGAACCAGAGATCACCGGATATAGTGTACATCATTCCTGGGACCAGAGGTCACCTTATATTGTACAAGATAACTGGAGCCATAGATCACCTGATATAGTGTACATAATTACCGGGACTAGAGATCGCCTGGTATATTGTACATATTTACAGGGATCAAAGGTAACCTTATATTGCAGATCATTATGGTGACCAGAGGTCACCTTATTTTATACATCATTACAGGGACCAGAGGTCACCTTAAACTGTCACCTGATATAATTATAGATATAATTAAATAATTATAAATTTCAAGGTCCCTGGCTCAGGGGTACCATGGAGGGATGGGGGCTCTAATTAAATACTGTAATTGAATTAATGCTTTCAAATTTATTCTTTGGTATAAACCAAATTTTTTTTATGAACAAGGGTGCCTTTTCCAAAATTGTGAAATGTATGACCCCAAAATGAGGGTTTTTATGGTCAGTGGGCACTACTTATTATTGATAATTATTACTGATTATTTGAAATGCACTTTTTTTGTTCCCCTACGCTCTATATAGGTATTATGTAGCCAAATTAAGTATGCTAAGTACATAGTTATAATGCGCAATGGTACTTTTTTTCAAAATTGCGAATGTCATGGCCACTGGTTCAAAGCGCAAACCAAATTCAATCGGTTTAAAGTTTTTACATGATCTTCAGATGACCTATAAGACCCATAGGCCTCTTGTCGTGTTCTTATAAAAGAACCTTTGCATGGTATCCCGTTAGTATGCATTTTATCTCTAATCTCTGATCCATCCTAATGTTCTTTTGAGATGTCTCTGGGTTACGATGGGTCCGCCTTCATATGAATTATATTTTATGTCTGGTTTCCTTAAAAATGTACAAAATGGGAACCACTGGTGTCCCTATTTATGTACATTATAAGGTGACATCTGGCCCCCCTTGTGTTGTAAAATATAAAGTGCCCTTAGGTCCCCATGATGATCTACAACATAAGGTGATCTTTGACCAACTACCTTATGATGTAGAAGGTGACCTGTGTTTCCCCTTATGATGTACAATATAATCTGACGTCTAGTCTGAAACAGTATAAGGTGACCTCTGTTCCCCTTTCTGTTATACAATTTAAAGGTGATCTTTAGTCTCCATAATGAAATAAAATATAAGGTGACCTTTGGTCCACCTATTCATGTACAATATTAGTTAACCTCTGATCCACCTAGTGAAGAACGTTAAAACTGACCTGAAGGCTCTGTACCCAAACTGATGTACAATATAAGGTGACCCTGAGTCCCCAACTGATGTACAATATAAGGTGACCCCTGGTCTCCCTACTGATGTACATTAGAAGGTGACCCCTGGTCTCCCACCCATGTACAATTTAAGGTGACTCATGGTCCCACTACTGATGCAACAAAACAAGATGACCACTGGTGACCACTGGTCCCCCTACTGATGCAGACACCATGAATACTACTACCTCTTGTTCACCTTCTGATGTAAAGTGCTATATAAGGTGTCCTTTGGTCCCCCTACTCATGTACAATATAGGGTGACCTCAGGTAAACTTATGGTGTATAATATAAGGTGACCTCTGGTCCCCACGATGCACAGACAAGATGACCTCTGGACCCCCTACTGATTTAAATATAAGATGACCTCTGGTCCCCTTATTGATGTACAATATAAGGTGTCCTCTGGTCCTCCTACTGAAGTACAATATAAGTTGACCTCTGGTCCCCTACTGATGTACAATTAAAGGTGACCTCTGGTCCCCCTACTGATGTACAATATAACTTAACCCCTTGTCCCCCTACTTATGTACAATATAAGATGACCTCTGGTTCCCCTGCTGATGTACAATTTAAGGTGACCTCTGGTCCCCCTGCTGATGTACAATATAAGGTGACCCCTGGTCCCCTTACTGATGTACAATTTAACGTGACTACTTATGTACAATATAAGATGACCTCTGGTCCCCCTATTGATGTACAATATAAGGTGACCTCTGGTCCCCCTACTGATGTATTTAATCAATATTTTATTATGTAAAGTAAGATTACATTATTGGATTGGACATCAGGCATGGCCTATATAAGTCCTCTCCTACTGATGTACAATATAAGGTGTTCTCTGGTTCCCTTACTGTTGTCCCCTACTGATGTACAAAATAAGGTGTCTTCTGGTCCTCCTACATATGTAGAATTCAAGGTTCCCTCTGGTCCCCCCATGTACAATAGAAGGTGCCCTCTGGTCCCCCTACTGATGTACAATATAAGGTGACCTCTGGTCCCCCTTCTGATGTACAGTATAAGGTGACTTCTGGTCAACCTAATGATGTTTTATATAAGGTGACACACTGGTCCCCCTACTGATGTACAATATTAGGTGTCCTCTGGTCCTCCTACTGATGTACAATATAAGGTGTCTTCTGGTCCCCCTACATATGTATTATATAAGGTGACACACTGGTCCCCTTACTGATGTACAATATTAGGTGTCCTCTGGTCCTCCTACTGATGTACAATATATAAAGGTGTCCTCTGGTCCCCCTACTGATGTACAATTCAAGGTTCCCTCTGGTCCCCCTACTGATGTACAGTATAAGGTGCCCTCTGGTCCCCCTACTGATGTACAATATAAGGTGACCTCTGGTCCCCCTTCTGATGTCCCCTTCTGATGTACAGTATAAGGTGACTTCTGGTCAACCTAATGATGTTTTATATAAGGTGACACACTGGTCCCCCTACTGATGTACAATATTAGGTGTCCTCTGGTCCTCCTACTGATGTACAATATAAGGTGTCTTCTGGTCCCCCTACTGATGTACAATATAAGGTGACCTCTGGTCCCCCTACTATAGCTAATGTACAATATAAGGTTGCCTCTGGTCCGCCAACTGATGTACAAAATAAGGTGACTCCTGGTCCCCCTATTGATACACAATATAATGTGACCTCTGGTCCCCATACTGATGTCCCCTACTGATGTACAAAAGAAGGTGTCTTCTGGTCCCCCTACATATGTAGAATTCAAGGTTCCCTCTGGTCCTCCTACTGATGTACAGTAGAAGGTGCCCTCTGGTCCCCCTACTGATGTACAATATAAGGTGACCTCTGGTCCCCCTACTGATGTCCCCTTCTGATGTACAGTATAAGGTGACTTCTGGTCAACCTAATGATGTATTATATAAGGTGACACACTGGTCCCCTTACTGATGTACAATATTAGGTGTCCTCTGGTCCTCCTACTGATGTACAATATATAAAGGTGTCCTCTGGTCCCCCTACTGATGTACAATTTAAGGTGTCCTCTGGTCCGCCTACTGATGTACAATATAAGGTGGCCTCTGTATCCCCATATAATGTAGAACAGAAGATGACACCTGGTCTTATTAACTTTTTGTTACCTCTGGTATCAGCATAAAGATTATGGGAACAAGCAGAAGTCTTATATTGTACATCAATAAGAATTTCATACTTCACAAATTATAGTATATGAATGATACAAAGGTAATCTTATGTTGTACATTGTTACGATGTTGCTGAAAGTTGTACGTAGTTTAAAATCATTTAAATAAATAAATTTAAATAATTTAAAATCAGGGTATGTGTAGAATTATTTTTTAAATCCTCTCCAAAAAACAGTTGCGACACTAATTTTTTGAAAATTGGAAAAAGTGCACAATTTCTCCGAGTTCTCTAAATGTATGTAGGATTGGTCAACTTGCTTGTCTTTAAATACAGTATATGTATCCCGAAAAGAAATAACGATTGGTGCATTTTTAAATTTTTATTTCTTTTTTTTAATGTAGTTCATGAATTTGATGTGTTAATTCCAGGGAAAGGGGATGAGAACTCGATGCAGCCCAAAACTTCGAAATACAGGGGGTACATCTTCTTTGTAAAATAAATAAAATCAGAGGTTTACTAAAAAATGTTAAAGTGATGAGGTCACCCATTTAATCATGATCTCATAAGGAAGAAGAAGGAGACATTAAATAATTTAACAAATAATTATTCCATTATGTTGAAGGATCGGTGAAAAGTCCGAGCGAAATTAAGAGGTACGGGGTGGTAAGGGAAAACATCTTCCTCCTCCCCCTACTTGTTAGAGATCTGCGAATTCAGAGACTTGATGTCGTTTACTCTGAGTCGCATACCATTAGTAAGAAGATCAGAGGTTAGGCACTGTGTTGTATAGATACTATAACCTTACATGGAATAAAATCATAGGGGAGACCACAGGTCACCTAACGTAAATCATAAATGTTAAACGCTTATATATCATATAAAATTGCAGTTAATGTTGCTCAGCACCCACCCTCCACCCCCTCTATCTTTTCTAATACCCATCAGATGGTTATTCCTTTTAAAAAGTTGTTTGTTTTACACTGTAAAGGTTTCACAGTATTACGATTTATTCTATTTTCACTTTACGTATGCAACGCACTACATTTTGTAGCGGAGTAAACAGGCCCGATAGTCGTGAACTAGCAGGGGACCTAAGGTCCTAGTTCAGCGTACGTTTTATCCTTCTGCTTATGACATAACGCGTCTAAGTATCATTAGGACGTTAACCTGTATTCTCATCTGCCATGTGTTTAACTTCCTTGTTCAAGCAATAATAAAAACGTTATGGAGGAATTTCAGGTGAGTTTTAATGAAGTTTACTTCACCATAATATATTCGCAAAAAAATATTTAAGTTAATAATTTTTTTTAATTAAAGATAGATATATCCGAATGAGAAAAAAAATATGTGAGAAACTTGTTGGACCACTATACTGTCATGTTGATTGGATATCGGTACATGCAAATGCGACTTTTTCGATCGCATGCATGCATGCAGGTGTGGATTTATTTAACTTTTTTTTTTTACTTCAAATGAGAATTGTTGTATTTATATTTCAAAAAATTATACATATTATATAATCTTTGCATTTTCATTACATTATATCGAAGTGGTGCACAGGATTGATTGCCTTCATCACAAGCTCTGCGTAAGCATAATTTACGCAGAGCTCCTGGTTTTGTCAATCGAGTGATTTCTATTGACTTGTTTGATAAAATTGCGAACTCCTGTGGCTATGCTTTAATAATGTGGAATATAAAGGGATGTATGAAATTCATAATATTTGATTTCGACAGGATAAAAACGATCTTAATAACTTTTGTTGCCAAGCTGTTGCTAATGTAAACAAAGGGGCTTCACTCTAAATTTCTTCAGAAATGAAATTCTTTCGAGAATTTATTTAATGCAGTTACAATATGTCAACAAAATGCTAATCTGTTGTGTGTGTGAATATAGATAAATTTACAATCATTAATAAGCAAAATTGTACTATTCATGACACGATAAAGAAAAACATAATGTACAACCTGTGTGACTTGACCGATTTAAATTTAAAACTCAGGAATGAATGGCCGAGGATACGGACCTTTAGATCCATTTTCTAAGCCTTATACTAAAGTTCACTTTACTTTTGATTTTTCTCAGCAAATGTTTTAAAACTCAGGAATGAATGGCCGAGGATACGGACCTTTAGATCCATTTTCTAAGCCTTATACTAAAGTTCACTTTACTTTTGATTTTTCTCAGCAAATTTTTTTGCCTCATCACTCCAGACAAATGGGCCCACTTTACTTCCTGGTTCCTCGCAAAATTCAACTTTTCGGAGTGAGAGTAGATGGACTTCCGAGGCAGTATAACTACCTGGTCGACGAAAACGAAACTGTAGGTATGCAACTATTTTTGCAGACCAAAATATGTACATGGACGTTTACCCTGCAATGAAAAAATGTAAATTAATGAAACTGAATTACACTTTCAGGGGAAAATGGATCGAAGACACATGGACTAAATGCTGTAATATCAATGCTACATCACTGCTTACACAACTTTGGATTAGGTGAAAACGAGTGCATTGTTCATGCGGACAATTGTGCAGGTAATTCTGTTCTTAATCTTTCAGTTCATACCGGTATCCGATCATAAAGATTTTTCTTTAAAAATAATATTGATTTTAATTGTAGCATAAGATCAAAATAAAAATCGATATTTGTTGGCATACTTCTGCTGGAGAATGTGAACTATATTCAGAATTATTTTTAATAATTTCATAACATAACTCAAAAATCTTTTATGATGCTTAGTGGATTCAAATTTTGCACATATTAAACGCATCCACAAGAGAAGTGATTGCAACTCCCTCGAACAGATCTATCGTTGTCCAACAATGCGGTTTTATATGCTGAGGAGGAATCTTTGATGTGGTCGGGTTGGGTGCAGTTCTTCTCCGAGCACTTTGTTTCACTCAATGATTTGCGCTGATTCCAAATCTTTCGATTTTGCCATGACAGTCCAGGGTATGTACTTTGCAAAAAGTCTAGTGATGGTGAGGAGATTCCTGTGAGACTTTTGAAGTTTGATGTAAGGCATTTTGCTCATGATGCACGACCTCCAGAGATTTCACCAGGAGGTCTGACACGAGAAAGGCAGGCATACCTTTATAGCCGGATCCGACCTTTCGTAACCAATCCTTGGAAAGATGTGACCTGTCCCACGATTAAGAACGAAAAATGGCAGTTCAAAATTACTTCTTTTGATTAAAACCTGTGCGATACAATATTAACCTTTAAAAGGATCTTTTATTATGAAATGTTAACTTACATGTGATATTAAATATCGTGATTTGTACATGTATACGATTACCAAATACAGTAGTTTAAATCTCTTATGCATCTGATCGTATCTCTAGAATTTCCCTGTTTTTACCTTCCTTAAATATTTTGTTGTTTTAAAATTTTCGACACCGAACACTGTTCCTTATTTTCACCTTTTAAGGCTTTTATACCTTCCAAATATGTAATAATATGTAGTTTATATTTCATTTACATACTTGTGTATAATAATATACATACCAGTGATAAGAGCCACGTCGTTTAAACTGTAAACGCTGTCTTTTATCTTCTCCATTTTACATCCACAAGACCTTTCACATGACGTCATATCCGGATTCTTATACAGCTCTTCGAACACCTCTCCCTTAAGGGTCTTCATAAAGCAGTGGGAATTTGGATGATTATGTATTTGGCTTTTCTGACCGGAATTCCAGCATAATATCAGCAAGTTGTAATGTCCATTCCCGTTGTCTAATAAGGTACGGGTATATCTAAACAAAAAAAACTCGCAATACGGCTATAGAAAAAACGGAAACTTTGTCAAATTAATCAGTAAATATATTTATCATCCACAACTCAAAATCAATTTCTGAAGGGAGTTTTTTTTTTAAATCTAAATTTTGTTATAACACAGCAGAGACATCTGGGTTTTTTTTAACTAGATATTTTTTCTCGAACCAAATATGCGTAGAAATCTGGATATCTCCACCAGCGTTGGGTGGAATGATTTATCTGTATAATTACATTTAAAAAAAAAAATCTTTAAAAGTATTCTAGAAACGTAATTCTAACTAAAAAAGATAATCTGTTCTATGACATGTACAGTAATGTTTCAGACAGAGAACGCATTTGATAACCCACACAACGTAAGAATTAAATGTGTACAAAATGCGTTATGTCCCAGGCCTTTTTTAATTTTAGATTTATGTTGCGATTTAATAAATTAACTCGAGCTCATTTAATAGAAAATTGGAAGTTCAAAATTGAAACGGAATACAATGTGTGTCTAATTAACTATTACCACCCCTTATTTATTTATATAAAAAAACCATGCTTTTTATGAAAATAACTCATACAGCCATAACGTACTTGTCCTTGCTCCAGATTTCCATTCCCTCCCAGTCCCCTGGGTGACTTTTGTACTTGGACAGTAGCTGCTTTACCATTTCTACGGACTCTTTCTGAAATCCGTTCGCCAACTCTTTACAAAGATCAGATCGTAAAGCTTTCAAGTCGTATCGCGCCATTATTTGAGGTATTTGTTGAAGTGGAAATTTAACTGCCTACAATGAATTTCTGTATGCAATAAAGGTATTAACGAGATGTTCCGATCCTTATATATGCACAGAGGTATTTTATTAATTTTTTTTTCTTCGAAATCACCTGATGGTATGTTTTTCTGTAAGTTTCACAACGGGTCATATTAAAAGGAAAATAACTTTTATGACATGGCAACAAGATTAAAATCTTACAATAAGAACATAAATGTCAAATACTTGTGTACTTCAGTAAGTTTGATTTCCTTGATTTGATAATTTAATCATAATATTGTTTTTGAAAAGCAGTAAAGCCAGATAGAGAAAAGGAAATAATAAAAACTTAGACATGACAAAATGTAAGTTAAGGAGACAGAAATAATTAAGTGTTCTAGTTCATGTTTCGGAAGTTGGGAGTTGGGCTTATTATTTTTAAATATTTTTTTCTTCAAGCATCAAAATATTATCCTAGTTTGGTTATACTGTAACGAACAATAGGGAAACAGCTTTTCGTTGATCTTTTTCTTTTGTAACAAGATGTGTTTGTGATGCGCCCGGCGGCAACAAAGTTCTACAGTCTATTTTAAGCTTATAGGCCACAGCCAAGGTCACTGACTTTGGTGTCATTTGAAGGAACTTAATTAGTGTAATATGTATACCAAATATGAAGTCTCTATATTTAATATTTCAAAATATATATTGTGAAAGTTTGTCTATCTGTCTGTTGTTAACTTTAACCTTCGCCACAACTTTTGATCCATTAAAATGGAGACTACATATTTGGTATGCTTACTCCATTATATGACATTTCCTTTATGTGCACCTTGAATTAAAAAGACCTTACACTTAATTAACCTTGCTAATTCCCTCAATTATATACATTAATAGTAAACACTGTAATTAGTAAAAAAGAGAAACCTGAATTACTTAAATTACTGAAATATATACATGTATCATTGTTTTTAATTATTGTTTAATTCAATATACTCGAAGTTTCATGGTATACAAGTTTATATTATTGACCTTTGACATTTCATTTAAAAACATTAATTGACACTGGAAGTTTTTACTCATAAAATAAACAGCTAAATATCTTCTCATTTTAAAAATATATAGAACAAATATATTTGCAGGTTTATATGTAAGTACATTTGTAAAGGGGGTTTTGACCACAGAATTTCAGTTATATTCAGTTCAAATTATTATGATCGGGATGAAATTAATTTTTCATTGAATGTAATGAATACAGTGTTGTCAGCAAACGCAGTACATGTATACTAAAAGTTCCGCTTTTTGAACACAAAGAGTTTAGCTTTAGAAACAAAACACTTACTAGTCACCTGACAGAAACAACTGGTAAAAGTATACGCTTGGGTTTTTTTTAATTATGGAAATTTATTTTCATATGACCTGAATGCTTTTGTGAGACAGTAAACTGTTATATTACGTTTTTGAATAAGTTTTCCTATTATATCACAAATGTAATAAGTTTCGCTATAAACCCTGAAAAATGCCGAGTCACACCGGAAACAGTTATGTCCGGCCGGAAACAGTTATGTCAACCCTCGCCGGAAACAGTTATGTCATCCTTTCGATCACGTTCACGTGTTGTTACCTTACGCATTTTAGCTCGGGTTCGAGATGTTATGACGTCGGTTGCTAAGCAAATGTAAACAATGGAGCGTTATTCTTAACGTCAAGAAAGCATTTCTGGATTATTTGTGAAAATTTAAACGATTTTAAATGATTTTATTTTTTTTTTTTTTAGTTTTAAAAATGTCATATAACATATACCACATAGCTTCTCGGGCGACTATACCAGAATATTTGCCCCTCGTTGACAGGAAAGACCTGGAGTGTTATGTCACCCGATGCCTTCGGCATCGGGTGACATAACACTCCAGGGCTTTCCTGTCAACGAGGGGCAAATATTCTGGTATGTCACCCTCGAAGCCATGTGATATATGTATAATATTACTTGTTAAATGTATCTTTGCATTATAGACTTAGATCGTCAAATTCAAACTCATGACACAAGACAGCCATATCATTTTCAATAGTTTTCTAATCTTGAAGACATTCTAAAAAATTCTAGGTTATTAAATCTGTTGTTTCAAAACGTATTATGTTTCATTCAAATGTTAAATAATATTTTATTCCTGTTTATTTAATATAAGTAACGACTTTGAATGTTTGTATTCCGTCCTCATTAAATGCATAATGGTTCTATTTAGGGTAATATTAGTTAGAGTAATATGAGCTGCAACTTTAATTTGATGTCGGAATTTTTTGTTGTTGCAAAATTGTAAGTATTTCAAAAACAGAGATAAAGAATATTTATTATCCAGTGTTGTTCATATTTGTGAAGTTTTAATAAACCATAGTTGAAACAAAATTGAAATATTTTCGTCCTGTACAATATTGATTTCTTAATTAAACAATGCTACATAACTGATCGTACAGAAGGCTTTCTTCTGAAACAGTTAAATACTTAATTTTAGTCTTAATAAATAAAAAAATTTAATTTACATTAAAAAAAATCAGAATACATAAAACAGAATAAAATGCAGGTCATATTGTTTATATAAATATTTGCTCAAGTGTTACAGACTCAAGGGGGTTACTCTCCCAGAAGTATATAGAAGAAGACGACGGGATACATAAAGATATAACAAAGAACACCTGTCTGATTCATGTACTTGTGTTCAACTTTTGATGAAATTTTCCGCGATTGCTCTTATTTATTTTGTGTTTTAACCGATTGTGAATGTACAAAATTCAAAAATTGAGCGATAACATTTTCATATCGAAAGACTCAATCTGCTTTCGGCCTCTTACATGTTGCAGTTAAAATGTAGTTGGAACTTTATTTGCATAACATGTCTTAAAAATATTGAATTGATATCATCCACATTTACTACGCATATATTTATCAAAGAGTATAGTTTCTTTTTTGAAATATGAATTCAAAACAGCCTTTGATAACAGCTTCTTTTTTACTTCAAAGCAACCGTATATATCAGAATTTCAAAAAAATGTTATTATAAGAAGCGAAGCAGTATTTTAGGTTCTCTTCTAATTTTAATCTATGTGAATGATGGCTTCCAGTATTTATCCTGGTTGCAAACATATTTAATATGCTAATAAAAATGCAATTTTATTCTTTCATAAAAATGCAGATTATATTTCAGAGAAACTTTGTACTCTTTTAAACAATGTTGAAATGGGTTTGTTGCTTTTAAGATTATAATTCACGACACCTGTTTGCATTAACAAACTTACACATGTTTAAGATTTTCATACTGAGTGTAAGGGTCATACAAATCATTTTATGGAAAAGGTTAAGGTATTCAATAAATAACAACCATATTTTGTACCTAATAGATGAATTGTCATATATCTTTTGACTATGGTAGCATTTTGAAGATTTATCTCAAAAAAGGCTCCACCAAAAGAATTTGCAAAATTTTTGTCAACTTAAATGCACCTTGAATTTTATTTTTAAGTCGATGGGCAGCACATGCTATTTAAATATATTGTAAAAAGTAATTTGATTTTCAAACAAATCTAAAAGAAATTAAAATTTCTCGCGTTACGAAGTATAGCGAGAAATAATTGTCCTAACGACATGTAAACAAATTGTTTGAGTCGGAACGGAAGTCTTATACCCGGTAATTGTGTACTGAGTAATGGCCAATGAAAATTGGTTTTAAGTTATGACGTGTTCGAATGGGTTAAAGAGAACTCTAGAATTCATTCTCTCGCACGCTCTACCCGAGCAAGTCAAAGTTTTGTAAGACGGACGCTATAGTATGCCCCTCGGGTTACATAATTTCCGTTCTTTGAATCTAACTAGCGAATTCCAAGAACACGATACTAGCATTCTGAAACATAGCAGCACGAATAAATTAAATCCTCATTAAAAGAAGACAGGAGTTTCAGGGATGCTGCTAATGAGTTGGAAGATCTTGGTAACCAAATGGAAATGTCGTCATTCATACATAAGAAATAAATCACTGACAGCCAATACTTGAGTGGACACAAACAAGATAGTTGCAGGAGGTAAATAGTATGATAGCCATAATTTGTTCAGGTAAGCTCTCGGTTGACCTAAAATTGCGTGATTCTCGCTGAAAGTTGAAAAGATAAACAACACGTAGTTTAAAGATATGTATGCCGTGTTAAACAGTATTTTTGCACAGCTGAAAGCGAACAAAAGTTTCTGAACTATGATGAGCTATCAAAAATGAATCTTTCTTGCAAATTCGACGAAATATTATTCGGTATGAACAAAGTACTGGTCGGGAAAAGAACACGATATTCTCGTGCATATTTATAAAGGACTGACCGTTTATCCTGGATCTGCGCATGTGCGCGGGAAAAGAATCGTGAGAATCATCAGGTCGAGGAAAATATTTTTCGTGACGTCTGTTCAGTGATGAACCAGTATGACTGACAAATATACCAATCAGCTCAATGAGTTGCATTTAGTGCATTTATGGGTTACTACATAAAATACTACATGTGTTTTTCGAAAAGGCCAGTTTTTCAAATCGCTCTCGGAAAGACTTGATGCATTTTCCCAAGTATTTACACGCTTAATGCATTATGTACATTTATTATCTACTAATCCCAAGTTTTCCCCACTCCATTGTACAGGTCCGTTTGTTTAAAGTTTCTCCGTGCTGTACTGCTAGTGAAAAGACAATTGCACGTGATTATTCCTCGGTACAGAAAGCAACCAACTCTGAGGTGTGCTCACGTATTGACAATCCCTATCTCACGTGTTTGTAGTAAAAGTGTAGTAGACCATCATGCTTTTCGGTTCATTCACGAGATTGGACCATTGTTTGCTGTGAGCATGCGAAACCACGTGATCACGAATATTTCAATAAGAGGCGGTTTATTATCCGAATCGGAGAGAAAATAACTTTTACCAATTAATATTTCAAACTTTTATATATAACTTTTAAAAGTGATGGCGTGGAATTGTCTTATTTGCAGAAAGTATATAACTTGACGAGACACCATATATATTTATTTCTTTTAAAATAAAACACTAATACCGCATATATATCTATAATGCTTTTCAACGATGAAGTCTCGACATAATAATAGTCCATTAACTAAAAATAATAAAAAGGTTGCTTACGTTAATGTGCAAGCCTGTCTCTAGTACAAGGGTGGTTGAATATTCGCCCTTTGGTTCAGGACATCTTATAATTTTAAATGAATAAACAGAACAGACATATGGGGGCTGCATATTCTTCGATGAAAAAAGCTTACTTGGTTCTCGTAAGCGTAATACGAGCAGTCTTTAAAATAACCATTCATGGTGACGCTATTTATTTCGAAAAATGTAATGAAATAATAAAACGACAAATTTTAGGAGTGAAAATGACAAATTGGATTTCAATTACAAGTAGCATTATATCTTCGATTATCCTGAAGGTTTCATGAAATGCTAAGAAATATAAATTTTACAAAGCCCTTTAAATGTTCTTTTAAAATATACATATCGTAAATTCATCAGAAAATACATCCAAAAGATTGAGCAAGAAATAGTTAATAAAAATAAAATCACAGCATGTAATGTTTTGTGTAGTCAGTCTATGTATTTTTTACAAGTTGTAATGTACAGGTATTCCTTACTCTACTCTTTCCGAGTTTGCCTCAATTTTTTTTTTCTAAAACCTACAATAGGATGTCATGTATAGCTACAATAATATTTCATTCCAAGAACATATTTCAAAACGGATCTTCACTTTGTTATAAATTAAACTTAAAAAAATGTCGGTTGATATGTTAAATATTTGAAATACAACTATTCAGTAACCCTCCAAAACTGTTCGATGTCAGCCCAGCACTAATAACTGCTTTCTTGATTCCTGTAATTTTGTTGACCCGAGTGTCGCCGACCTCTTGGAATGTAAAACTTTTGGAATTTTTCTCCGTCGTCAAAGTGCCTTCTCCATCTAGGGACATTCAAGTCTCTTGTTGAGTCATCATCATTGAAGTGACGTTTAGTAGGCCTGTTGGTAAATGATGAAGTAAATTTTGTCCAAGATATAAAAAAAATAATATTTTTAAATTTCTTTTTTTTATTGTATTATTCTCGGTTATTCAAAATTTGTTTGAATAAAAAAATGAATGTTTAGAAGTTTATTTTCTTCATGTGATTAAAGGTTTGATGTTGAACTGGAAAATTACTCACGATCGACACCACCAGACAAGAACGGCAACAAGTAAAGTCACAAGAACAACTGAAGAAGCTGCAGAAACAGTGATAATGAAAGCAAGACTGGTAAATGGATCCTTGCTTGTTGGCGTCAACGTGGTTGAAATACAATCTAAAAAAACAATATTCAAAATTATTTTTCTAACATTTCTGCAATTATTCTTAATTATTTAATAAAAACCTTATCTTTGAAGTTTGAACAGCTCTATGTTTTTATTTATTAAAACATGTTCAAATAGAAATATTTTTATTGGTAAATTTTATTAATCTAAAGTTTATCAAAGTAAATGAAAAATAAAAACTATTTTCAATATTTAAATGAAACCAGACCATGTAGTCAAAAAAGGAAACACTGAAAGCAACTTATACTTTCTCTCATATTACATTCACACTACATTGATTGGTAGAATCGAAATAGAATTTGCAAAAAGGTAGCAGATGATGCAAAAGACGAAAGTCTGACTTTTTAAAATTCTGAATAGTTAATTTTGCTATCAAAATTAATATGCAACAAGGTTAATAAAATTCTACATCGTTCACCGAAGGACGAGTTAAATCTAAAGCAACTCTTGTGATCACCAATAGTATTCTCACTATTTTTATTGTACAAAAATCAATATTGTTATAAAAAGATACTTCGAAATGAAATATAATGTAAGGTCCACATCGTGTCAGTTTAAGGTTGCTCTGATGCAGTAGATAGAGAAAACAGAAAAAAACATATAGTTCTTTGGAAATATCAAATTTAGTAATTATCAAAAATAATTTTACCTTTATTCAATGACCAATCGAACTTTTGACTTGAAGGATTGCAAACCTCACAGCTATTTCCTGGTTTGAAAGCTCCATGTCTTACGCACGTATTGTCAATAAAACAATACTCTGCCTATTTGTAAGGTAAGAAATAATCTATTCCTGTTAATATTGCATGTAATGCAGATTCATAGGTTTTAATGAATTATACATGTTACATTTCTCATAACATTATAAATCGACGAGTTTTAACTCAAGTGTATGCAACATTGTATCATATTTATTTATATAAAGAATACCTTAAGGTTGAACTGTTCAGCACCGTTGACATTAGAAATCTGCTGGCATTTTGACTGATATTTGTATATCGAGTAAGACGGGGAGAATTGATTTCTATCGTAGGAGATTTTGAATGTAAACTTGGTAATCCAAGTCACCCTACTGTCCTCAGGCAAAGGGCACGCTCCTTGAAATAACGTTCGGTCATCTAGAGGTTCTTCAATGTCAGTGATATGCATGATTGTGTTGTTATGATGCACCTATATTAGAAATGGTAAAATGTAATGTTGTTGAAGATCTAAGAAAAGGTTGTATTTACGCAACCAAACACAAAACAAAATATTATTTGTACATGTAGTAAAAACAATGAACTATAACATGTTGCTTCTACCTACCAACTCTCTTGTAATAAAGCACGTTTTCTTAATATCCTCAAGGAAGTATCTGCCCTCTAGGAGAACTTCGGAACAGGTCCGTGAAGATAAATCGCAAGTTCTATTTGGTGCAGTGTTAAGAATTGAGGGGGGTGCTCTGACATTGAAAGAGCAGTCATTTCCTCCAAACCCAGAATCACACGTGCAGTTACCTGTTGGGTGTAAGTTTTTAATTATTTTAAATTTATCCCGGTCGATACAAACTAACAAAAATATTAATATACTTTCAGTTTGTATACTGTGATGAATACTAAAAGGTAAATATTCACATCCAAGCCTAGAGGTTTGTGGGAATGATAAATGATCAACCTTATATACATGTATTTTTCTTAAACTGTCGGTAATAAAATCTAATTTCGAACTCTTTTCAATTTTGTATGTGATAAACACTAATAAATGATCATCAGGATACTTATAAATGAACTCTGTACACTCCAAATTTAATGGGAACAAGAAAAAAAAATGTTTCAATATATTCTTTCATTTATTCATTTTGGGGTCAGCAGGGTTCTCCACGAGGGGTTTTACAATGGCGGCCCACCATGGTTAAATTAATGTGCGCCATGGTTAAACGAGCTGCGCCATGGTTAAAATCGACAGCCGCCATGATTAAATTTTTCTGCATTTCAGTCCTGACACCTGCTTTTTTAATGACTTGAGTAGTTGATTATTGTGTTTATACTACGACTGCCATGCACCTCCCATGCCTCAAAGGAAAGCGGACTGTGCTAAACAAACACGTCGTTAATTAGCGAGTATGCTGTGAAGCGTGACAATCAATGGAGTGTCAATCAGCTGATCAGATGATAAATATCTTGAGAGTTTAATATCCTGTACACATGTAAATAATTTGGGTAAACTTCAACATGTTCACTAAATTATTAGATATATAACGGGTTTATAAAAGATGACAATTACGAGGATGATAATCGTCATGCATGCGAGTAAGGTTTCTGTGCCACAAAACCTAGGCCTACTCTATAAAATTTTATATTTCTCTGTATTTAATCAATTTCCCATGCTCTGTTTTTTTAAGCTTTAACTTTATTATCTATCTGATAAAATGTGCATAGGGTCTACATCTCAATCGCAGTCTTAGTCTTGGTTTTAGAGTTACTTCCCGTTGTTGTGAAACGTCGTGTGGCGCTATTTTTAGCACTTGAATACGTGGGGAAGTAAACAAAACATGGTGAAAAATGCAGTAACTTGAAAAATAAACGTTTAGAAAAAAGGGACACTTGACCAAATGTTCCTAAATGTGTTTAAACTTAATAAACATACTGCCTATTGATCAGTTTTAGTCGTATTGAACAAAACATTTCATACAACAAGCTACAATTCCCTATAATTATTAATTTCTGAAAAATATTGCCATGGTTACTGACTTACTGACGTTTTTCTTCTTTAGAAGGTAACTACAGTTTTGGACAAATTTTGGTACATTTGTGAAGTAAGATACAGGATAAATCCTTTTCAATTTAATTATTATTTTTTAACTTTAAAAAGTGTTAGTTATTCCATTGCTGTGTTGCAGTGGTTAAGTTTAAAAATTGTAAAACCAATCATTGATTAAATAAGATTAGGAAGTCTAACAAGCATTCCTTTTTTTCAGCCACATTTCGCTTCGCGCAGCTTCCTCCATGGTTAAATTTTCAAATGTGGAGAACCCAGACTCAGGTTAAAAAAAATTAACATGAACTGTATAGCTTACAAAAAGTATGGTTTTCAATAAATACTATTCTCTGACAGTCAAGGTCAGAAAAAAAAATTTCTCGTCTTTGTTGCAAGTTTCTGAACCCCACATACATTTTTTTTCTTATTAAATGCCTCTACATTGTATGTGCTCAATATTGTTAATATATATATAAATTTATATATAACCTTCGTTGCAGACTCCATGACCACTACAATTATTTGAACACAGCGACTGAAGTTGATACGTGACATCAGGCTGCTCTGTCTTTAGTGTGGTGTTCAGGTCTAGAAAGTTAATGCACTGCTGAAGGGCAGCTTCAATATGGATCACTGTTATGTTTACATCTCCAGTCAACTAAAAATTAAATTCACCTTTCTTTATTCTTGAACTTTAAGACAATAATTAATTGATGTATAAAATGACCATGAAAGGATAGTTACTCTGACGTCCATGATGCAGTTCGACAGCGAGGCATTGGTCATGTCACTGACATACTGCTCACATGTCTGGAATGGAGCTGAATTTATAAACGCAGATTTACAGACACTCTCAGCTATGGTCTGGTTTGAGACGTAAATTGTTTGATCCCGCTTTTGTCGACCCTAAAAAATAATATTTTTACATGAAATGTAAACTTGTCAAATTTCATATTCTACAAATTGTAGTCTTTAACGAAAAGTTGTACTCACAACGGCAATACTTCCTTGAACAGAATATTCCGGGTTACTGTTCAGATGAACAGCCCTCTTTCTACGTGTTGGTTGCACCTGGCCCATTGTTTGAGAGCAATGGAACTGTTTTCCTTTAGGTTTCGAACATTCTGAGAATGTGTGATAAGAACACTGTTCCCCGTTGACAGGACAAGAACAAATTTTATCAAGAGTTTTGGATATTTGCGGGCGATCTAATGGTACACTGTTTAAGAGGTTTTCGTGGTTCTGGACGCTGTAAAAAAAAAATCAGTAGTCAAATTATACATTGGTAAAGACATATTTGGATTGCAATTTGACACTACTCAGGTAATCTACCATGAACTGTATTAAAGGATGCATTATTATGAGTTTTTTTAGGAAACATATTGCAAATTTCTCAATAAAATGCTTTATAAGAATTATTACATCCAGGATCTAGAAAACTCATCAGGAAATTCCAAGCTCAGTCTGCTTCCGCTTTTGTTCGTAAACTCGTTTTGTCTATCGCCATCTAACGTTCCACAGAGACCCTCAGTGTTGTTAAAGTCAGCCAAAGACGGGTAGATATCTAGGTCTATCTGCCATGATCCTTCAACGGGCCATTCCACCAATGATATGGTCACAGAGGTTCCAGTGGGGAGTAGTACCTGAACGTGTAATATTTTAACATTTAGGTTAAATTTTGAGATGATTTTCATATAATAAAAATATATATATTTGCATTATTTGAAATAGAGTGTTCCTAGGAACGCACGTTTCGCGTGCTTTTAGTTTCTTTAAAGATGTAATTAAATTTAAGAGTGTTGAGTTATTTATATGCTATTAGTATATACAGTATTTCATGCAAAAAATAACTAGCATTATAACTCATAAATGCACAATAACATCCACACATAGTGTAAGACTGCGATAGAATATGTCAATCACAAAAAAATATGACAGACAGACGGATGGACAGACAGATAGACATACATACACCGGGTAGAGTGACCCCTTAGTACCGCTTGATCCCCATCCCGATACATTTCATAACACTTAAATATCAGTTTGTATGGGTACATTATACAGTTTCAAAGAACACTACTACGAGCTCATAAACATTAATAAATGTTATTGACCAACACCCAAAACTCAGAATTCATGTCTTTTTTAAATTAAATTGCCCAGGACATTCTTTGTAAAGTATGTCAAAGGTTAAGGTTAAGTGAATTGTTACGCTGGTATTTTTCATAATGTTTTATGACAATCAGTGCGCATGTTAAATAGCATAGAATTACCCCTTGAATGCCAAAAATATGCTGTATATTGGCATGTTGAATTTCTTATTTAAGTAGATCAAAAGAAGGGTCAATGTCATGAGGTCAATAATAATTGCAATTTACAAATGCCATAGTACCAAACTATATATGTGCAAAATATCAATTCGTTATCTCTTAGAGTTCTTGAGATACGAGGTATGACAGACGGACAGAAAGACAGACACTGGGTAAAGTGATCCATTAATGCCGCTCTGCTCTGCAGGCGATACAAAAATCTAAATTTATACACAATATGACGATAATTTATTAATGTAACTGTAACATTGCACACATCAATTAGTACTATTCAGTGTTTTGATAATTTGTTTATAAAGAGCAAACCTTATAGTTTTTATCCGTAATTCTGTATACTTCAATAACGTTATCTTGACATCTAAGAAAGTCCATAAAATTGTTGTTTTCACAAATGTCAATCAAGAACACGTCATTTCCTGACTGCACGGAAACAGCACACGTGCACTGCGGGAAAGGGTAATTTACGTGGCATTTCTCGTGACGAGTTTGAATCTTAAAGAAAGAAAAGAAAATATTCAGAAATGTGCTCACAATTCATCTTTTTTTTCATTTGAATCGCTGCAAACCAAAAAATTTGTCTACATGTCTTACCTCTTGATTGTATTTCAAATTACGGTACAGGATAAACTCCCCTGCAATATGGCTATCAAATGCCCTGTAAATTGGAGTTAATTTTCTTTTATGAATTCGCTATACAAATCACCACTTAGGATCTCCAAGGGAGAGATTGGTTTATAAGGAAACCATTTTTATTTTCAAATCATTAAACTGTAAATTAAGAATATCTCTAATCTAGCCCTGGTTACCAGCATCATATGAATTAAAAGTGATATGTGTTGTTTTACAATTATAGTACAATAATGTAAGACCACGTGTATTTAAACGATCTCAATAGAAAAAAAAACGAAAATTATAAAAAAAAAAAAATATGCAATTTTTAGTTGGATTGATACTTAAAATTTCTTCTTGTTAAGTAATTTTTCTGATTATTTTTCAACTCTATTTAATTTTCATGAAGTTTTTATTAAAAGCAAAATTCCATGGATAATTATTTTATTATTCTGAGAAGCCAGTGAATACTTTCAGTTACCGAACTCCTGATTTGTGAGCCATGAGGATAGGATGACCTTGATATTTAAAAAAAAATGTTCTCAGAATGCTTGCATTTAAAAGTCAATCATCTTTTAAAGAAACATTTCTTACACTCCATCAAATGTATATAAATGAGGATCAGTTTTTGAACCGCAAGATTTTCCCTTCCACATGTCGTCGTCTTCAAAAATTTCAATCTGAAAAAGATTTTTTTCCAATATTAAACATATATATGTAAATATTTTTAATTAACAAAAGTGTTTCTGGGTGCTTACCGACATATTGTCTAGAGACATATTATGGAAAAATCCATCTTCATTTTCACTTGTTCTCAAGTGAAGTGTAGCTGTTTTGTCGATGTAATATCCATCTGAGTCAATATGATATACCGTAATGTTGTGCATTTTTCGCCATTCATCTGAGTTATACTTTCTCTTTTCGTCATAGGAATAAGCATTGATTTCAAGAGTACAGTGATCAACACCTATTGAACCTTTACAACCATTTTCTGACATAGGAATGTTACTGTGAATCCTCAAGGAGCTGAGCGCCTTAACGGTATCATTTACCATGACTGTTGGAGTCACAAACGGAACAGTCAGATAAAAACCAATTTGAGCCTTGCCTTTCCTGGGAAGACTAATTTTAGTGTCAATCATCTGTAAGTAAAAAGTTTTTGGATGAAATGTTGCACTTGCACAAGTTTAAGGCATTAAAACACAGATTCATGAATTGCTGTTTTATATGTAAACGATCATTCTTTCATCATTTAATATCGGTTGTTTATCCCTCCAATATAAACAAACCATGTTGATAAAATAATCTACAGGTTTCTTAAAAAGAAATTTACCATTATCCCCGCGAAGAATAAATTACTTTCTGACATTTTGCATGGAGCAATAAGCTGATCCATTGTAGCACCAACCTTGCAGAGTATCTAAAATTAATTGAAAAAACATTGATGAGAATAAAAATTTCAAATTTTTATTAGTTATTTGAAAAACAATTTATGTGTTTTGTCATGAAGTTGCGCTGATTGATTTTGTGATTTCATAAAATGCATAGTTTGATTTTGAGTTTTTATTGATTATTGTCATTTCAAAAAAAATATTCGTTTATATAATTTGTCAGATGCTTGTATAACCATAAATGTCCCTTTAATACATGTATGCAAGGGAATAGTGAGAATTGTTTCATTTAAGATCAGTGGCAACACAGATTCTGTTTTTTTAGTCCCAATCAAAGAATGTTATACATCATGTTATGACGATCGTTTATGTCAATTCCCTTCTCCACTGATATTTCACATTCTAAGCTTGATTCGTGTCATGGTCATTACTAGTTTCAACCGCAGGATCTGGAGCAAGTCCTGAATAAACCGAGTCCAAAGTATGTATTGGAACAAAAAATATCCTCAAATGACAAAAAAATTATCCCTCATTGACAAATGGGCCTGAGTACCGAAAATGTCAAAACTTGCAGCCTTAAAAGGCAAGTATTGGAGTAAACATTACAGAGAACCATTCTCGAGATGTACATTTAACAATCACTAAAAAAAAGTTTAAATGCCTGCAAAGATTTTAGTTTTTTATTTTTATTTTCAGAAGAATAAACATGTTACCTCAACTCCAGAATTTCTGTTGAAGGATATCAAATCCTGTAATGATAATGTAGAATATTTGTCAGGCGATCCTTGTAGAACCTCTGATTTGACGAGTGTGTGATTATTAACATACCACTCCACTTTGTAGAAGACTTGGTTGTTAGGGGAAGAGACAAAATTACATTTTAGATTCACTGACGGGTTGTGTATGATCTGCTTTGTTTTTCCTTCTGTTTGGATTGAAGTGTTCCAAGAGATGTTGGAGTAAGTTACTGTTATACTCTCAATATTCAATTCAACACCTAAAATGTATTTAAAAATCAGTTTAAAAATTCAAGAAGTACTTTGTGATTACGTATTTAGTTCAGTGAAAAAAAATTTGAATGGGATGTAAAACAACATATAATCAATCATTCAAAATGATCTTAATAATGTTAATTATCTTCTCACAAGAAGAGGCTGTTGTTCTGTCCTGAGTTGTTGTCATGGATTTACTGCTCACTGGATTCTCTTCAGTTGTACTTGTTTTTATTGTTGGTGCAGCTGTACTAGTTGTTTGTTCTTGTGTTGTTGTTGTGGGTGCAGCTGTACTTGTTAATTGAACTTTTGTTGTGGGTGCAGCTGTACTTGTTAATTGAACTGTTGTTGTGAGTGCAGCTGTACTAGTTGTTTGTTCTGTTGTTGTTGTGGGTGCAGCTGCACTAGCTGTTGTTGTGGGTGCCGCTGTACTAGTTGTTGTTGTGGGTGCAGCTGTACTAGATGTTTGTTCTGGTGTTGTTGTTATGGGTGCAGCTGTACTAATTGTTTGTTCAGTTGTTGTTGTTGTGGATGCAGCTGAACTTGTTGTTGTGGGTGCAGCTGTACTAGTTGTTTGTTCTGGTGTTGTTGTTGTGGGTGCAGCTGTACTAGTTGTTTCTTCATTTGTTGTTGTTGTGGGTGCAGCTGTACTTGTTGTTGTGGGTGCAGCTGTACTTGTCTGTTCTTGTGTTGTTGTTGTGGGTACAGCTGTACTAGTTGTTTGCTCTGGTGTTGTTGTTGTGGGTGAAGCTGTACTTGTTGTTGTTGTGGTGGGTACAGCTGTACTTGTTGTTGTTATGGGTGCAACTGTACTAGTTGTCTGTTCTGGTGTTGCTGTTGTGGGTGCAGCTGAACTTGTTGTTGTTGTGGGTACAGCTATACTAGTTGTTTGTTCAGTTGTTGTTGTTGTGGGTGCTGCTGTATTGGTCGTTTGTTCTGTTGTTGTTGTTGTGGGTGCAGCTGTACTAGTTGTTTGTATTGTTGTTGTTGTTGTGGGTGCTGCTGAACTAGTTGTTTGTTCAGTTGTTGTTGTTGTGGGTGCTGCTGTACTTGTTGTTGTTGTGGTTGCAGCTGTACTTGTTGTCTGTTTTTGTTTTGTTGTTGTGGGTACAGCTGTACTAGTTGTTTGTACTGTTGTTGTTGTTGTTGTTGGTGCAGCTGTACTTTCTTCTGGTGTTGTTTGTGCAGCTGTACTTGTTGATTTAGGGTAGTTGTAGATTCTGATGCAGTTGTTAATTGTATGGTTGTTGTTTGTACCATTGATGTTGTTGTGCATTCTAAAATGTAAATATATAAAAAAAAACTTCTTTTTAATTTGATCACTGAAAACAATCTTTTAAACAATGCATCCATTTTTTTTTTACAAATGATCGGTGAAAACTATCTTTTTAAATATATATATATAATGTAATTTTTAAACCTACCAATTGAAAATAATTATTGTAAGCGTTTTAGTCAAATATATATATAAAGTTATCTTCGTTAGAATTTCACATAGTTAACAACCAGTTCAACTTGCTTAAAGTATCGTCCAAGAAGTATGTACATGTACAATGATTTTTTTTAAATGACTTAATGAAAAGTTTCTTTTTCAGGTTAAAATCCCAAAGAAAGAATTGAAATATCTCTATACAGTTACCTGGACTAAAAGACCATATACTCTGTCCCAAAGATGTATTGCAGTAATAACAGTCATTGGTAACATTCTTCTGTCCATTTGCCAAACACCGGTTATTGATTTCACAGTATTCTTAAACGTCAAATAATATAGTTTTGATATTAAATACTAATACAGTAGATATGCTTAAAATCAATATTGTTAACTGTGTCTTTTTTATATAAAGAGTAAAAAAGGGTCTACTTTGTCAACACAGTCTTAAGAAATCTGAAAGAAGGTCATTTCAAAGGTACCTGGGTTTTTACTCCAGGAAAGTTGATTGGTAGTTACGTTACAATGATGGCAGAGATATGAAGAATTTGTGCCTCCATCCACAAAACATCCATCGTTAATAAGACAATAATCTGTAAATAAATTTTTCACGTAAAAAAAAGCCTGGGGCACATTTTTTATAGACGTTCTGTTCAATCACATACATATACCTTAATTTTGGTTGCATGTGAACAGTTTTGAAAATGACTTTTATAAAAGAAGCTATAAGGATTTCTTCTTAATTGCTTGTTAACAAAATTCTCCTTCATTCTTATTTAATTCTTAATAATTGTGCGGTTTTTTTTGGTTATATCTGCTTAAGGACCATCTCTACACAAGTGCAAATTTTTTTTTGGACTTTGAGAAAAATATATTGTATAAAGGGGTTTATATGGAGGTTATTTATTTAAGTTTCACTGTATGGTGCATGGTTTTTACCCCTGGGAAAAATGTTCAAAGACAACATACTATCCCTGAATAGAAATCACTGTTAATTACTTAAATAGAGAAAATACATGCAAATAACATGTTCAATTAATTTATCTTGGCCTTTAAAATGTTAAGAATACTTAAATTAATTACAAATTGAGTTATATATTGTAAATTTCATTTTTAGAGAAAATACATGCAAATAACATGTTCAACTAATTTATCTTATCTTATCTTATCTTATTGTAGTTTCATTTTTTTTAGAATTTAGATCTAAGTGTATATCACTCTTACTCAAGAAAAATTCCTAAGAATCAGAACTCTTTAGTGTGCAGTGTAGAGAGGGTTCTTAAACTAAAACACAAGGAAACAGCCTGTCCACGATTGGCAAGGAAATTCCTTCCTTAAAGCTGAACGCTTCACCAAAATAGGCACGGTCAGAGGATGTATGAACCGTTCGCTTTCGTTACACCCGATTGCACACTTGAAACTCGTGGCCGACACGTGTACTCCTTTCGTGGTCTTCGATTTTGTGCGTTTATTTCTTGTTTTCATGTGCATTTTCTGTTTGTAAATAATGTATTGACCTGTATCTTTTCATGATACTTTTCCGCTGTTTTGGAGAAAATACGTAAAATTCGTTAATTTCATCGAGATTGAGTAGCAAGAAGTGTAAGATGTACGTCTACACACGTCGGATCTCTACAGTGAAATACAGTGAACTGATTAGCGATCTGCTTCTTATATACGGGTTGTAGGGAGATCGTACAAAAACAGGAAATATAGCGGACTTTGCCTATTTACGGGTAGTGTTCAGCTTTTATCATAATGAAAATTATTAATTAGGTCTCGACTGATATGAAAATAATTAGCCGAGAATTCGAAAAAAAAAAAATGACACCCCCTCCACCCTCACAAAATCAAATGGTCATCCCCTTAAATGGTAATTTTAGAGCTTCTAACATTGCTTGGTGCCTTTGTTTACTGTGAACTTAAATAAAAATGAGTGTGTTCTTACCTTTCTTTAACTGCCATTGTGTTGTACTGATACTGGAGTTACATACTTTACATTCCATTTTAGCATCTGCATCACCGTCCTTGACACATAATCCATCGATGAAACAATATTCTACAGTATAATTTCAAAGTTAATCGTAGAATTTACTAGTTTTTTACAGACCCAAAAGATGTTCTTTGTTCGAAGAAAAGCATATCAATAAAGAGACCATTAGTTTTTCAATCCTTATATTCCCGCTTTCGTAAGATTTTTTCATCCTTTACATGTATTTATTTATATGTAAACTGTGTCCCCTGTTTGGTCCCAACCCTTAGCCAGGGTGTCATGAACTGAAAAAAAACTTCAATCTACTCTACTTATGAATAAATACAAGAGACCCATGGGCCTTATAGGTCACCAGAGCATCATGCACCAACTTTCAAATGATTGAATTTGGTTCATGTTTTAAGCTAGATGCTATGACATTCACAATTTTGAAAGAGGCACCATTGCTTATCATAACTATACACTTAACAACTGCTCAGTTTGTTTACTTAATACCCATAAGCAGAGAAGGGGAACAAAAATGCATTTCAACCAATCAGGAGTATTCAGCAATAATCAGAAGTGCCCCTACCACACATGAAACCCTGACCTTATGTCTACACATTGCACAATTTTTGAAAAGGCACACTTGCGTATCAAAAATGTTTGATTCATACCAAAGAGCAGATTTCAAACAATTCATTTTCAGTATATAAGTAGAGCCCCCCTCCCCCTTTGGTATCTCTGACCCAGGGGCCTTGAAATTTTCAATTCTGGAAGAAGAGCCCTTGCACACCATAACTATATAGGAGGTTCATCTGCTTATTACCCAGGAGTAGAGAAAAAGATTTTCATAGATGTAATGTATTTTCACTATATGATTATAATAAAGCTACGCCTAACACATTAACCCCTGACCCTGGAGCCATACAATTCACAATTTTGGAAAAGGCAATCTTGCTCATCATAACTTTCTACTTAATTAGTTTATCAAATACTTTGGAACACAGAAGAAGATTTTCAAAGAAATAATGCATTTTTACTATAGAATCAATAGAGCCCCGTCCTAACACCTTAAACCCTGATCCTGGGGCCATAAAATTTACACTTTTGGTAGAGGCACTGTTGCTCATCACAACTATCAACTTAGTAAATTTATTTCATACCCAGAAGCAGAGAAGAAGATTTTAAAAGATTTAATGCATTTTCACTATAATTATATTCAATAGAACCCCACACTAGCACCAGAACCTCTGACCCTGGGACCATAAAATTCAAAATTTAAGTAGAGGCACTGTTGATCATTACAACTATACTCTTCAAAAAAAGAAACGCATCGTAGAATTTAAGTGACACATTGAACATAAAGATTATTTAGTAAAATGATGCATTGATAAAACAGAAATGTGGTAAGCAACAGGAATACTATCTAAATGTCATAATATAATTTCTCAACAATTTTAAAATTATAGTCAGTTTAAGACCATTAAAGATCAATATCTGGTATGCCCTCCGCAGACACAAATGATAGCCACAAACGGCATCTAATGGAAGCAAATGTGTGTAATAAGAACTGTATAGGAATACTCTCCAACTCCAAATGTAGAACTTTAGTCAGCTGTTGCAGAGTCTGGGGATGCGATTGTCTTTGGCAAATCATGTCAATCCATTTTGTCTAATGCTGATTAATTTGGATTAAATCTAGCGATTTAGATGACTGTGACTGAGACAGGTTGTTGTTTCTTTGCAAGTATAGGTTTGTCGAACGAGTCATATGTGGCTGTGTATTGTGAGATTGCAATACGGCTCTAGGATGCTGCAAAATTGAATGGGTATCTGTAGGTAGAATTTGGTTAGAGTACCTTTTTTCATCAAAATCCATTGAATTCGAACCAAATCAATCTTACTTTCTTATAATACCATTTCCCATATCATTACACTACCACCACCAATTTTTTTAACGTCATTGAGGCAGTTTTCTATCAAACCTTCAATAAAAAGCATTAGCACTCTTAAACTTATAAGAGGCTTTCAGATAAACATTCTGGACTAGCAGATTAACCAAAATGTTCAGCAGTGATCCTGTGGTCATACTCTATTCATCTAAGATCTTTGAAGTCGATATTTGGGGTGTTGTGGGGTCGGAACAATGGCATGAATAATCCTCTTGCAATAATTCGTAGTCAACTGAAAACGGTATTGTTTGATGATCTGTGCAGTTCATGGAGAGCTAATGCTTAAGATGACGTCCTTGCATTACATTCATGCAATTTGCGTAATCCTCGGAAGTGATGCTGCGCTGCTGATGACACACGTAGTCTTCCAAATTTTTTGCGAAAATTGGGTGTTCGATGTTAATGGTTTATATTTTATAGGTTAGATATGGTCTGTGTGTAACATTAAAACCTCTTGCAATTGTTGATTGCGGTACCCGTGCTTCCAGTCGCCAATTTTCCTTTTTGTGCCACGTAACATTCAGATGCAGCAATTTTAGGAAGCGTCATTTTTCAGATAAAACCAGATTCAAAATATCGAGAACCCCCGCTTTTGAAAGCCCCTTTGTACTTGAAGGAATTGCATCGGAAATCAACAAATGAAAATTGAGATAAAAATTTTGGGGGAAATTTTGCAAAATCAGGTCTTTTTGTCTGTGAGACCTGTAGAATAGCTGTAAAGTTAAAAATTGCATTATTAAAAAATCATTTATTTCACTCGAATACATCGTATCCATACAAAAATAAAAGGTATGACAAAACTATAACAAATTTTCAAGGCATTGTTCCTACTATGCGTTTCTTTTTTGAATAGTATATGTACTGAGTTAGTTTATTTAATACCCAGAAGCAGAGAGGAAGATTTTCAAAGAAATATTGCATTTTCACTATATAATCAATAGAGCCCGGCCCGAACACCAGAACCCCCAACCCTAGGGCCATAAATTCACAATTTTGGTAGAGGCACTCTTGCTTATCATATTTATGTACTTATTTTATTTAATTCCCAAGAACAGAGAAGAAGATTTTCAAAGAAATATGCATTTTCACTATATAATCTATATAGCCCCACATTAACACTAGAACCCCTGACCCTGGGGCCATGAATTTCACATTTTGGTAGAGGACTCAATGCTGATTAGGGGACGACCATTTGATTCTGAGGTGGGGGCCTGGCAGATTTTGGAAATAAATAATCTGTCCCTGAAAATGTTGAAAATAAATAATCTGTCCTCCGATACAGAGAAAATAAATAATCTGACCTTGACTTCTGATATTTAAATATTGTAAAAATACCTTTTTTATTTACGTGTAATTTAATATCAAAAGTCTTCAATTCAAAATTTGTTTGGCTCGCTTCGCTCGCCATTTTAGAACCAAATAGTATTTAAAATCAGATTACCAGACTGGATACTTAAGTCATTTTATCAACATGACAATGTGCACTTTATAGTAGTTGTGATGAATAACTTTAAATACAAACCAATTATTATACACCACAAAAGATAAATTTTCTTGTCGAATAATTATACTTTCCAGATTAATTAATACAAATACACACTGGTGGATTTAAGGGGGACGTAAATGTGTACGACCCCAGGACCTCCCTTAAAATTTAAAGTATGATACGAATAATAATAATAATAATGCTATACTTTGCTATACTTTGGGACAATACCAATATTTTTGTGCCTAGTTTTACTCTTAAAATATACAAAAACACAAGAGCTTCAGGGGGCTTTGCCCCCTGGGCCCTTTTCATTCAAAGTATGATATGGCTTAATAATATCATACTTTGGTACAAATATAACCAATTCCTACAAAAGTTTTACTCTTATACATATTGAAAAACCCAAGAGCTTTAGTTGATTTTGCTCCCTGAACTTACTTCATTCAAAGTACGGTATGACCAGTATTAATTATGTCATACTTTGGTTCATAATAACCAATACCACACTAAAATGCCTGGTTTTACTCTTAAAATACACGAAACCCCAAGAGCTTCGGGGTGGGGGGTTACTCCCTTGGCCTCCACCAGGGCTTCGCCCAGGACCCACTGGGGTTCTTACGGCGGCCCAAGACCTCTTGCCTAAACAAAGTTATACCTGTCTCCTCCCCAAATCCTGTATCCGAATATGGTATATAAATGATTAGTCTTTAGAATCAATTGATCAAGGTACGGTAAGACATAGAAGAAAATAAATAATCTGTCCTTGATAATCTTGAAAATAAATAATCTGTCCTAGACAGGCATGAAAATAAATAATCCGTCTCAAAAAAATTTGCCAGGCCCCCCCTCAGGATCAAATGGTCGTCCCCTTACAATCATACCAACAGTTTTACTGCTTGATGTCCAGGAGTAAAGAAGAGGATTTTTAAAGATTGCATTAATTTTAGTGGTTTTGGCCACACCCCCAGGCCCCAGGGGGGCAGGGACCATAAAATTCATAATTTTTGTTCCCTTTCATCCACAGATGCTATGTACAGTACCAAAATTGGTTGAAATTGGTTCAGCTGTTACAGAGCAGAAGCTGAAAATATTCAAATATTCACGCACGACGAACGATGACAGACGAAAATGGATAGCAATAGATCACCTGAGTTTACTAGGTGACCTTACAAAAATAGCGTTGAACAATTATGCTGTTCTTAAGTAAACAAGTGTTTCCTACACATTCATAGGTAAGATTTTCATCCTGATTGATGTGGCACTCTATCGTCTTGGGTTATGATTTCAAAATAACGTGATTCTGCCTTTTTTTTAGACAGATTGTTGATTTAAAATACAAGACGACACTTTTTTGAAAATGTCCCAAAACAATGACTTTTTCTGATTTATATTTGAAGATTCATATCAACCAAGAAAACTTCTCTGGATGCTTAGCTTATGGGCCGACACCAAAGTCCTGACAACATTTAGTAAACAAAAACTACCGAAACATTGCTGAAATATTGCCAAACTCGGCATTAAACAATATTCAATAAATCACGCAGTAAACAAATTACCTTCATTAAATATCCAGTCACTTCTTGAGATATTTGACTGGCAGATATCACAGCTTTTGTTTGGATTGACTTGGCCATCAGAGTAACATATGTTGTCAATGAAACAGAATCCTGAATGGTAAAAAATAATAGTGAATACATAGTGGATGCTGTATTTAAAACAGACAGAACATATATTAGTTGAGAAGAACAAGAAGAGTATAAACAAATAATTACCTGGATTAGAAGACCAGGATGTTATGTTGATAGATGGATTACACACACTGCAAGGGTTTGTACCATTGATTGCTCCTCTCGTGGAGCACTTCCCATCAATAAAACAGTGTCCTAATTGTATAAAAAATGCATTCATTAACAAGTCATCAATTAAGCAGTGTTCTTATTATATAACAAATTATTTACTATACATGTAAACATCTTGGCATTTTTTTGAATTCACAAAATTTAAGGTTTTAATTAAAACGTCATAATTTTAAGTAGAAATACCTGCGTTGAATGACCATTGGTATTTATTGCTCGCCGTGTCACATATATCACACAGATTGTCCTTATTTGTATCTCCAGCAGCCACACAGGTATTGTTAATGTAGCAATAACCATCCTACAAAACAATGTTTTACATTGTATTTGAGAAAATCCTCAAATGGTACAAACACTATGAAATAATGAAAATAAAATGTTATATTTTAAAATTTTTAAAACACAACTGTTCAAGGAGCCAATTAATAGAAAAATTTGGTTCTTTCAGATGAGATTTCAGACTCATTGTGTGGCATACTATGTGTTGGCATGATGTATTACAGGGTTTTCCATTATTTCAAATTTTACTGTGGCGCAAGAATTGCGCAAAGTACTTATCCCAAAATCACATATTACATAATATGAATTATTATTCAAATGCAAATAGCATTAATTTTTTGGGAAAATGCTTCTTGAATTTAAAAATATTAATTAAAAAAATATATATCGATTTAACATAGTGTAGAACTATAAATAAATTATTTCTACATTATATACTGTGAAAAAGACCCCCCTTCCTAAACACATAAGTACTATGTTAATAGATATATGGTCACAGAATCTGAAAAAAATATCAGTAATAACATGTTTTAAGTAATTTAACCATAATTTAACAAATGCATGATTTTATTTTAAAGTTAAAAATTAACATACTTTGTTTATTAAAGATATTCAGAGGAAATTCTGGTAGGTCACATAAGACATATACCGATGTTTTGACTCGCAGTGCAAATGTAAGAGACAGGGTTAACTATAAAACTATTTAAGCATAAGCTAATTGATATTAAATATTTCCTTTGCAATTATCGTGACGAGTGAAAAAACACAACTTCATGTCTCCAGCGCAGTTTAGAAGATAATTGTGCAAGCCAAACAACGGCCCGTAACTAGAGTAAATTAACAGTTTAGTATTAGAAACTGAAAACGGTACATAATTTGGAGGTTTAGAGGTTTACTTGATTAAAAATTCATAATATTTATCGTACTGACAACGACGACTTTACCTTTGGCGCTAATATTTTAACTCTGGCGGAACATAGCGCTGATTTTAGCCGGGCTTATTGCTCAAAGAGCAATTGCCGGCTTATGTGATCCTGTTCAAGGCAGGGTGTTGACCCCATAGTCGCCATTTTAAAGTTACGTGCAAAATTATAGTTCTTACTCTCAACCGCTTTTGAGATAATCCAAACGCTAAATAAAGCAACAAAAATAAAACGAAGTTTTATCTATATAAAATAAACATTAGTAGTAATGACTTAGAAAACTTCATAAGTCAAAGAACATAGTTAATTAGCGTAAGGATTTTTGATAATCAGTGTTACCGTTGTTCTCTACACATACGAGGTAAAGCAGGAGAGGGAACCAGACTGGCCTGTTTGTTTACATTCAGCTGCGGTACCAGATTAATTCTGATTCTGACAAAATCGGACCGTGGTATTAGGATTGAAAAACTCACTGTCAGTTTCGTATCATTTATATTGATAGTTTTAAAATAATTTTTTCATCAGAATATAAACGTGATTCATGTAAGAAATCCATTCTACTCTGTAAATAAGCCCGGCTCTCTGTACTTCTGAGTACTTTGATTTAACGGTGGCGCTAAGAAATTTGACTGTGGCGGGACTGCCACGTTCAATGGCCCATGGGGAACCCTGTATTCCCTTTGTAAATATTCACACGTACCTTAAATATAAATGTGATGTTCCCTGTATCATTTTTCAGTTCTTGACAGAGAGATTGATAGGTATAGACGCTATAGTTCTCTGTGTATCTACTGCCGTCGTTCGATACGTTAAATCTGAATTCACTGACCCAGTGCTCATCTGTATTGTAGTCAAGGGGACAGTACCCCTCAAATAGTGTTCTTTCTTGAAGACTGGATTCATAGTTTATTTCTGATAAAACTGAACCATCTTCTGCAAGCTGAAATATAAAGATAATATGTTGTCTCATTTATCAAAAGAAATACTTGCTTTTGCATATAAAGCATTTTAACAATGCAATTCAGAAATTGTACACAAAATACCATTTTCCTCCTCATGTAACACGTGGTGTTCATATTTTCCAGGAAGTACTTCCCATACAGAGTGATTTCCTCGCAGGCTTCAGAAGTCTTGTCACAAAATCCAAAATCAGAGATGTGTGTTATAGAGGGTGGACCAGACAGGTCAAAGGAACAGTCGCTACCGACATACCCGATATTACAGGTACAGTTACCTACAATGTAGAATAGATATTTTTTAATCAAATTCTACTGTTTTTGAGCATATCTTTTAACCTAAGGGAAAAAATAATTCATCAAATGCACAATGCATAAGATTCTCTTTTCAATCAACTAAATGGTCACCGATATGTGTGGAAAGAATGAATTTATTTTGAATAACTGACATTCTGTCACTTTTCAGTACGCTGTTTGTTTAATTTCAATTAATTACATGACAGATTTCGGTGGGTAAAGATGACTTGGTTTAGCTTTATAAAGCATTAATATTACAACAATCATATTTGACAAGGGCAATTTTGTTTTAGTGTATCTTACTCAAACTGAATGAACAGATATGCAGGAGAGAAGCCCCAGATTACTTTCAACTTACCAGAATTACATACACCATTTCCGCTACAGTTGTTTTCACAAAGACTCTCAATTCTGTACGTTATTTCCGGTTCCGTTTCCTGGAAAGTGGCGTTTAGTACGACGAATGTTGAGCATTGCTCCAGTGCCGCCTCTATGTGAATCTTTGTGATGTTAACGTCACCAGTCATCTGATGTTATTAACAAGGGAAGTAAACATACAATTTCAAAATCACCAACAAGAGCAAAGTATTACATGCATTCTTTATAGAATAACATCCTTTTAAATATATACCTTTTTTATTTTAGGGACTTTAACCATTCTTTTAATCAATATTGCAGATCTATTTTGGAACTAAATAGCCTTAGATAAGGTTTAACTGATTTTGTTTATTTTCTTTTTTCATATGAATAATGAAAGTTCGAGAAAGGATTTTATACACAATAATTAAAGTTTCCTGTAAGACAGCACTCTTAAGATAAATTGAATGTATGTTCACTTTATGCTCAGGATTACTAAGAAATTGATTAACCCGTAAAAAGAATAATTATGTGTAGATAACATGACATCAGATACTAGTTAATTAGCGAGGTGTTTATACGTAACATGACATCAGATATACAGTTAATTAGCAAGGTCTTTATATATACACTGATATCAGATACAGAGTTAATTAGCGAGGTGTTTATACATACCATGATATCAGATACACAGTTAATTATCGAGGTGTTTATACATACTATGACATCAGATACACAGTTAATCATCGAGGTGTTTATACATACTATGACATCAGATACACAGTTTATCAGCGAGGTGTTTACACATACCATGACATCAGACACGCAGTTAATTAGCGAGGTATTGGAGAGATCACTGACGTGTTCCTGACACATGAGATACGATGCAGATGCTTCGAATGCTTCATTGCATATGGTCGTCGCATTTTCAAAAGACATCACATAAGTATTCGTCTGTCTCTTCATTCGACTCTGATTCAAGAAAAAAGGCGATAAAGTAACTTCAAGTTTGGGAAAATGCTTTACAGTTAATTTGGGGAAAAATTCAAGGTGTACCTTTGCATGAATTTCCTTTTCTCTAGGATCAGTAGCTGACAGCGACTGCAAATGACGAAGGTCCCTTTTTCTCCTTAACTGGCCTTCTGGATTTAAGATACAGTAGTACCTTTTTCCAACAGCGAACTTGCAGTTCTTGTAATTGCCGTAACTACAGATGATGTCCCCATCGTGTGGATTATTGGCATTCCTTTTACAGGTACAAGTACGGTCGTAGACTGTTGTTATGGACTTTAGACTGTCATATACCTTGTTGTCAAAGAGGTCTGCCTCATCATTTTCAACCCTTGAATTTAAGATTTTTAAAAGATTAAATATGATAGATATCTTCACGAACAATCGAGCGTGTATTGCCAACCTGTTGTTTATAATGGCATTTACCATTTATGATAATAATTAGTAAATGTTATACATATCATTTTCGATTTTAATATATAAATATCGCATCCTTCAACTACATGCAATATTTATTTAAGAAATAAAGTCCGCGTTTTCGTGAATGTTGCAGGATAACCTCCGAGGTCGACAAATGTTGTTTGAAAGATAAAGCCGAGGCGTTAGCCGAGGCTTTTATATTTCAAACAACATTTCGAGACGGAGGAGGTTATCCTGCGACATTTACGACAACAAGGACTTTATTTCTATTCTACAAAGATCATGAGGATCGCTAAAATACGCCTGATCGTTTCCTCGATAGAGAAACGAAATAGGTCACCATGTCTCGTTTGCGTTGTTCCATTTATCACCAGAGGGAAAATTTGTTTGCTTACATGTGTATGGAATGCAGACAATTTGAGCTTCTGTTGCAAAAGAAAAGCCTTTTTGAATTTCAAATTTGTTCGTTATATTTATTGATTAATTTAAATGAATATCTTATAACAATTCATGTTCCTCTTTAACTGCTTTATTGGTATTAAAATGTGTAGGGAGGTCCGTGGAATAGCCCAGCTTGACTTTAAAAACCTACATTCATCGGCAATTTGATGCAATTTACAGTGTTCAGACTGCAAAAGTGGTCTTATCAAGTATTTCATTTTAGAGTCAAATATTTATTTTAAATGTACAGGTTTGATTTTGATCTGATAATTTTTTGATGACTTTCGTGATTTATTGGAGAATAATGTCCACGGCATTTCTTTGATGTCTGCAATAATCGTATTAGAATAGATTATACTGAATGTTTTATACAAGTACATATTAAAGTGAACCTTGCTTGCATAACTTCTGCGCAGCCGACGTTTTTAAAATATCACTCGTCGTCAAGCAAAGTTGAATGTTGCTGCGCTGGAGTGCGTGGCTTCCTTATTCAGTGGGTAATAGTGTTTTTAAAAAAAGTGTCTCGACGAATCAGATTCAACCAATTTACATGAAAGTATGTTAAATAATATCTAATGTAATAAGAACTGCGAACGAAAATGTTGTTCTCCTGCCTACCCTCAGTCATTTTTTCAAAATTTAACATTTTCGAATGATTTTTAATAGTTTTATAGGTTTTTATATAGATTTTCTTAAAACACTCCTTTTTTGGGAAAACAAATAAGGATATAGTTTTGGTTACACTTCAACGGAAAATGGAAAATATCTTTAAAATATCCCCCATGAAACAAAAATTCCTTTTTACAGGTAATATTGATTGTCATTTCTCAAATTCATACCAAAGCTTATATGATTATAGACAAAAATGCTTATTATTTTCACCTATTTCAAAGCGATTTAAAACAATAACATTTTAATTTATTATTCTATATATGTTAAATTCATTTGCGTAAGACATAAAAAAAGATATAAGGAACATTTTATTATATTTTAAAGACTTTTTCAAAAATGCAAAAGACCGATTTTAATGGAAAATATCGTCTATCCCCCTTATTTCAAGAGCTAGAGTTAGGTATAATTTACTTATTAGCGCTGGTATTTTAAAAAATTATTCAAATACCATTAAACTGTACTTTGTACAAAACAAAGAGTTCTTTCGATTAATCTGAAATTTATATCTATCAATGACAGGTATTGAAATTGTTAATTTTCAACATTAAAGCATTGTTCGTGATATGACTTGAAAGAGATCTTAAAAGAGTGCAATATCACGTGTAGAAAATTTTGCTTTATTGATATGTTAAGTTTCATTCAATTCGATATAATAGAAATCAATTTACTTCATTTTTAAATCACATGATTAGTATCCATTGGGCTAACTAAGCGGTAATGTAAAATAAAAAAAAAACATCTCGTCAAGAATTTGTCAAAACTCATTAAAACCTTTTTTCTATCACTTGACATTTATTTTGTAACATTTTTTACGTTGTGTAACTTTCTTAATGCTTTGATTTCTTTGCCTAGCCTTTTTGTTTTCCCATGATATTTATATTTTTCTTTGTTCAGAATTTTACCAGATAAACTTTTTTTTACAGATTGTTCTTGTCAGATACAGAGTCTCTGTCACTGTTACCAGTTAAACATGCAAAACTTACTTTCGACATTTTTTTTAATTCCATTAACATTTAAAGAGTTTATTCGGGGTTTTTCCCGAGTACAAAACAAAATTGCATCGATATCTCCTGCTCGGTGACGATCTACAACGAATTTCTTTTCACCTCAGCCAAAAAAAAGCAGGATAAAACATGTAACAGTTTTTGATTAATAAGTCTATGATTGTTTTCCTCTATTTTACAGAAAATATTACTAAACATGACCTGCACCGCGATCCGATTCATAATTTGACAATATAGAAATAATTAATTTGGTTCATTTCACTTTTATTGTTATAGAGCAATTTAAACTAGTTTAAGATTTTTTCTTCAATATTTTCCAAAATTCCTTCATTATAAATTGAACATACTGAGGAATTTCACGCAGCACGTTGTATACACATAACCTAGACATACATTACCTCCACGATTTAGAGAATTCGTTAGGGGGATTGTGGTTGTCCACGGTTTTATCAGCATTGTTCCAGGTAAAGTCATTTGTATCATCGTTATCAAGGATTCCACACAGACCACTAGAATTCCCAACATCAGAGGGCGACGGGTAAATATCGATATTTAAATGCCAATCATTCCAATTTGGCCAAGAGGTAAATTTAATTTCAACTAATGTGCCTGTTGGGAAAATGACCTAAAATACATAGAAAAAAAAAATTAATAAATGTGAATACTTCAAAAACATTTATCTGCAAATAATTTTACAAATAGAAAGAGAATACAGAAATATCTTGGAAAAAACAAAATTGGACAATAAAACAATTTTTAAATATTTTAGATTAGTCTCACTGATACTTATTGTGCAATTTTGCAAATCTGAAGGAATATTCAGATGAAAAAATATTGTTTTTTTTATACTTGCATTTTTACAAGCTCTTAAGATTAAAAACAAGAGGTCCACAGGCCTTATAGGTCATCTGAGCGTCATGTTACATTTTTTCAGCAATTTAATTTGGTTCATGTTTTGAACCAAAAGCCATCAATTCACAATTGTGAAAGAGGCATCATTGTTTATCATAATTATACACTTAACATACTTACTTTGGTTACATGTACTTAATACCCAGAGATAGATCAGAGTAACAAAAAGAAAATGCATTTCCATTTTATAACCACCACTTTTGCCCACCACCCCACAGGAACCAGTAACCCTAGAGCAACATATTTCAAAATTTTATCATAAATTTTATTTCATCATAAATGATTGATTAATACCAAAGAGCATATTTTGAAGCATTAATTTATTTTCAGACTAAGTACCCCCCCCCTCCCAACCCAACCCAACAGGTACCCCTGACCCAGGGGCCATGAAATTAATCTGTATGGAAAGGGAACCTTTTTTCGTCATATATATGTACTTAGATCATTGGCATAATATTTATCAGCAGAGGAATAGATTTTCAAAGAATTCATGCATTTCACTATATAATCAATAGAGCCCCGCCCTAACACCAGAACTCCCTACCCAGGGGCCATGAAATTCACAATTTTGGAAGAAACATTGTTGCTTATCATAATTTTGTACTTGGTTAGTTTATTTAATATCCAAGAAGCAGATAAGATATTCAAAGAATTTAGGCATTTTCACTATTCAATCAATAGAGCCCCGCCCCAACACCAGAACCCCTGACCCAGGGGCCGTGAAATTCACAATTTTGGAAGAGACATTCTTGCTCGTCATAACTTTGTACTTGGTTAGTTTATTTAATGCCCAGGAAGCAGAGAAGAAGGTATTCAAAAAATTTGTGCATTTTCACTATGCAATAAATAGAGCCCCTCCCTAACACCAGAACCCCTGACCCAGGGGTCATGAAATTCATAATTTTGGAAGAAGAAGCCTTATTCAATATAACTATGTACTTGGTTAGTTTATTTAATACTCAGGAGCAGAGAAGAAGATTTTCAAAGAAATAATGCATTTTCTCTATATAATCTATAAATAACCCCACCTTAACTCCAGAACTCCTGATTCGGGGGTCGTGAAATTCACAATTTTGGAAGAGACACTATCGCTTATCATAACTATACATTAAGTTTGTTTGTTTAATACCCAGGACCAGAGAAGAAGATTTTCAAAGAAATAATGCATTTTAACTATATAATCTATATAGCCCCACCCTAGCACTAGAACCCTTGACCCTGGGGCCATGAATTTCACTATTTTTGTAGAGGACTCAATGCTGATTATAATCATGCAAAGACTTTGACTGCTTGATGTCCAGGAGTAAAGAAGAAGATTTTTAAAGATTGCATTAATTTTAGTGGTTTTGTCCCCGCCCCTCAGCCCACAGGGGCAGGGGCCATGAATTTCACAATTTTTCTTTCCCTTCACCCATAGATGTTATATGCCAAAAATTGTTGAAATTGGCTCAGTAGTTCTAGAGACGAAGCTGAAAAAGTTCAAAAGTTTACGACCGATTGACGACGAACGACTTACGACGACGGACGAAAACAGAGAGCAATAAGTTCACCTGAGTGACCCAGGTGACCTAAAAAATTGATAATTTCTTTGTATTTTAAGACTTTTTAGGCGTTGAAAGGTTATCACTTATCACAATTTGAATGGAAAAATTGCCAAATTGTTCCAAGTGTTCTATGTGATCATTGTGCACATAAGAACTTGATGTGAGACCGGAGATACAGCCGTCTTTAAAATAAATGTTTTTCCTCTCCCTGCTCAGGTTAAAATTATTTGGTCGGCAGGAAGATGGGAAAATCTTTGTCAACATATTTGTTACATATGTTATGGGACAAAAACATCGTGTCCTATAGTTCTAAGTCAGACAACAATATAGTCAGTCGGTCGGGAAAGGACAACCAAACATTTTTTTTAAATGATTTCCTAAAATCTTTTTAAAATTAGGATTACTACTATGAGACGTAATTGGTTAAGTTGATAATGTGGTACTAAAGTGTATTTGGAGAATATTTTTACCTTATAGAGTTTATCAGTTGCTTTGATGACTTTTAAAACTTTATCCTCACAAGAAGGAAAATTGATGACCGTTTGGGTGCTGCATATATCTACAATAAAAACGTCTTTTCCTGACCTCACAGCAACCGCACAAGTGCATCTTGGGTAGGAATAGTCTGGATGACACATATGGTGTTTTTCTTGTACCTGATATAAATTTCTTTATCAATATCTAATCAAACAATACATACCATCTTTTAAATCAAATAGAGTTTAAAAAAAAAATGGTCAGACCTCTTGTTGGAATATCTCGTTTCTGTACAATATGAAAGTCCCATCCAACTGGCATTCATAGTATCTACAACGATTTGCATTTTTGCATAATTACATAAAAACCATTACAGGTTTGCAAAACTTGTTTTCGTTGTCCTAAGTTTTAAATGCAATATAAAGTATAAAGAAGTCTATGTAACTTATATAATTGTCTACATTCTTGACGGGAAAAAAGTGAACTAGGAAGGAAATAACAATTTTTTGCTTCAATATTTTCTGCATAAAAATCTAATTTAATCTTTGTTTCCTTTACAGCAATGGTCAATTTTGTAACCTATGTTCTCAACTGCCTTGAACGGTAAATCAATCTTCCGTTGGAGACGGAAGACCGAGACGAAAGACCTTATTAATCAAAGTACTGAAAGCACTCATGGGAGTTGAACATGGTTTAAAATAGAATCTTTGATCGGGAGGTTAAGTGAGTGAACAATATTATTATTTCAAATGCAGACAACTGTTTCAGATTTTTTATGTTGCAAGAATCATGAGAAAGACATTCACAGACATTGAATAGCAAAAAAATGCATGGGCCATAATGCTTGTCCGTCTACATTAGTCCTTTTTTATACCCCCTGCTTGAAAAACGGGAGGGTATTTATTAATCGGGATGTCCGTCCATCTGTTTGTTACGCTTTATGTATACCCATCTCTTATCCGCAATTCTTCTTACACTACTGAATGAAATTTTCAAAGATATCTTATTACATATTGCCGTTGTGCACCTTCTATTACTTTTTCATCCTACCATATTTTGGGTTTCCCATTGCAAAACATGGACACTGCCATTATATTCATATTAGAGGCGGTTGATCATTGATATTCTTAACTGCTAACAGTATCTCTAGTTCAACTTCAAATTTGTAATATAATTTTCTTTGGCACCTTTACCCATGTGTTATGAAAATTTCAGTTTCACGGAATAATATCAATGTTGATAAAATGTTGATTTTCACACATTATCCTTTTAAGAGCTAACAGGTTTGGTATATAAAACTTCTCTGTGAATATAAATGTATTTCAATTACACGAACATTATACATGGTGTACGTCAGAACTTAATTTTTTTTAATATTGTGAAGAAAAAAACAATACAAAGTTAAAAACAAATATTTTTAAAATGAACAAACATACGAACAGTGGTATATGTGAGAGTTTGTGTGCGTACAAATTATCTGGTATGTAAATGAGGTTTTCCTTTTATTTAAAAAAAACTTCATTTTGCTGTTTTTAATCGCGATTCTATGAAAACATCGGTGTCCATTTTTGGTTTTAACATTTATAACAAATTACTAGATTTACCGCTTTTTGGCAGGTGATACTGCTGATTCAGTAATAATTACATATGTTTCCTAGAGTTTTTATGCATTAATGAATTCATGTAAACCAAGAAAATGTTCCTGAAAAGTTTGAATAAATTCTGCGCACCTGTAAAAAAGAAATTGCTAAATATTCTAGACCGTCGGGAAGACTAGATTTACCGCTTGCCGTCAGTATGTAGAGTTGTCGTTCGTATCTCTTTCAGTGTTTATAGATGACGCTACACTAAATATGAGTTCCATTACGAAAAACTGTTGAGGTTCTTTAGAATCTAGTTTTACTTTGAACGAAATCTAATATTCAAAATAAGATTACTTTATCATTTCATTTACTTACATTTCAAATTATAAAAAAAAAAAGATCAATTCAGGAGAAAATGACATGAACTATTTGTGGCGGATGTTTATGCATGTTTTCTGTTGAATATCATCCGAGTAAATTGGTCGACATAGTAGCCTCGTTTTCGGCTCTATATAATCAACACAAACTACTGCGCATGTAAAAATGCGTGATGACCAAGGGAGATTGAACATACGAGGGGTGATCAATAAGTTCGCGAACTAATTGAATAACTTCCATAAATAAAACAATATTTGGTTTCAGTGTTGATTTTGTGTTGATTTTGTTTTAAATTAGCCCTCTCTGATTTCACTGCATATCTGCCACCGTTCTGCTCATGTGCGAATCACATGATATAGGCGGTCACGTGACCCCCTCCGTAGCGTTCTGGCACAAAGGCTGAAAAAATTTTTCTTTTATATTTCTTTCCGTGTAAGTTAATTTTTATTACAAAAACAGCTCACTTGTCAGAAATGGTCAAATCTCGGCAATAGAATGGCCTTTCCAAAAATAAGCATGACGACTATCAATACCCAAATCTTCTGTTTTTGGAGAGACGTTTATTCAAAGTGGAAAGAGAATGGGCGCCTACTTTTTATCATATCTAATATGTTTAAAATCTAAATTAAACGATATCCTAGGTATTTAGTAATTATATAATTGTTAAGATATTCAACTATATGGCAAAGTGTAAATTGGAGGTCTCTAATAGCAAATTGCTTAATTAAAAACACATTTTCAAACTTGCTTTCACTGGGCAACGTAACAAATATCATTTTTAACCATCTGCCATCCTTCACTAAAACGATCAATCCGATCATTGTTTAAATTTATAGGAAGTCATTTGTCTTACTAAACTGTGTACAAATTATTAGACGCTACTGTAAAGGATTTTCTAACATATACCATAAATTGTACAGTCGTTCGTTGAACGAGTACGACTGACACAATCAGTTTTTTGTCACATGTGACCTACATAGTTACGTCATTTTCACATTGTGACGTCACAAAGAGTAAAACCATATTCAAAATGTGCTATTTATAGAATTTGTGTATGGCTATGTTTGTACTAAACTTTTTTTCTAATCTGAATTGTGATTTTGTAGATATAGAGATAGTTCACGAACTTTTTGATCACCCCTCGTAGTTCAACTCCCGAAAACGGTGGTAAAATCAGGAAGGTTAAATATGGACTTATGATAATGAAATGTTTTATATTGATGATTAAATTGATATGATATGAACTCTTTTTAGAGAATAAACCTTTGTATACTGCATATTAAATTCACTCTTCCTTACTTTCCATCAAACGTCTTCATATGTGGATCTGTATGAGATTGGCAGTTTTTCCCCTTCCAAGCCGAACTGCTGTCCTCTATATAAACCTTGATAAAAATACAAGCGGTTGATAATAAAAAAAATTTATCATAGGTTTTCAACAGTGTTTTTTGTCTCAATAATGATTTACAAATTATATACTAAAAATGTATCATCTAATAACAACAAAGTACTGGAACTGCACACAAGGTCTTTGTCTAAGCTATTTTGCGTATTGGCACGTATTACAAAAAGAAATCCTTTGTTGTGGTAAATTTAGTTGAAAAGAAATACAAACCTGTATGTCTGGTAATGTGATAGATGCCCATATTTCACTGCCCAGGCCATTTGTTGATCCCGTTTCGAAACGCAACGTTATGTGTTTGTCAATCAGTTTGAAATTTCCATCGTTCTGATTTTGAACACTAATTTGATGTATACCTTTCCATTCGTCTGTATTATATTTGTCCCGTTCGTGGTATTTATACGCCTTAATCTCTTTGTCACAGGCTTTTCTGTTTGGATCGTCACAGATCGGAGAGGAACTGTTATGAACCGCCATTTGAATATACAGCACTGGTTGGTCGTTAACCGTGTTTCCCGGAATGTAAACAATTCCGTTTTGATTTATAAATGGTATTGTAAACTGTAGTTCAACCTTTGCGCTCTGACCCCTATTTATGCGAAGTATTGGTGTCAAAACCTTCAAAATTGAATTATAAAATTGTGCTAAGATGTCATTCGAATATATCTCCATGCTAAATGTTTTAATTTTGTTTTGGAATGGATATTATTTTGTACATGTATGGTATTTGTTTTGCCGTTTCTTTCCCAAAGCTCGGGAATAGAAAACGAGTTTAACTTAAAAAAATTATATCCAGTCACAAACCCTTCTTTTATACAGAACCTTTTATTGCCTTATTCGCCAAACAAATGATAAAAATGGGGTTCAGATCCAAGTCAGTAAGTTCATTTTATGATAAATCATGGTTTCTGCCGCGCATTTTCTTTAAGAAGAAACTTTCTCTCTATATGCTTTTACTGCCATACCTATTTTCGTTCTTAATACCTTTATTCCTGCATAGAATAGAGAACTTGTGCCGGTCTCACAAGGACTGTCACCTGCACTTAGTTTTGCTCCAACCACACAATGGATCTGTAAATTTTACATTTAGAAATTATGATACGGTTAAAGGTAATAATTATTTGAAAATACTACATGTAGATGAAATACCTCACAGGCGCGGGAAATTGAATTTTTAGTTACCACTTCTGACATATATTTTACTGTAGTTGTTACTGAAAGCCTACATGTTTATAGAATGAACACTTTGTTTAAAATTCCGGAAGAAATAAATGTAGGTCTCCACCCCCACCCCCTTTTTGTGAAGCATGAGAGAAAAAATAACAATTTAAAAAGTTGACGTTTATAATGAAACCTGATGTACAATGCAATGAATGCTGTACTTCCTATCAAAAAATACTATAGTTAACTATGGTAAACTATAGTGAGTTAACTATAATAAACTGTAGTGATCACTTTGACACTTTGAAAACTTTGATTTACTATAGTGAACACTTTGACACTATAGTGAACAATTTGAAATCTTTGGTTTAATATAGTGATAACTTTAACACTTTGATTTACCTTAGTTTACAATAGTTAACAAAAGTAAACTATTTTTACTATAGTAATTTTTTTTTGTTAGGGTTCAGATGCGCTTGTTTCATTTCCGTGAAGTTTAAAATCAGCGAATGTGAACATTTTACTTATGAATAGAATTGGGGGTTGTTGAAATTCACAGGCATTGGTGTCTTGCTTTATAAATATGTATTTACTTTATTGAAATAAAAGTACTTTACTTTTTAACATATCAATAAGGTACATATACATGTAATATATACATATTTATAATTCAAGTCCCAAATACATATATATGAAAAAAAAAACCTTTTCACGCCCTACGACTAGGCCGAGTATTTGACACAAAAGACTATTCAGAAAAAACTGAAATTGTTTTGATTAAAGCTCAAAAGGTACAGCTTTAGTTATATTTGAAAAATACGTCATTCATTATTTTTTTCTTTTCATGACAGCATATTGTACTTTTGGTTCAATGCCACGATGCTCTCATTGAGGAAAATACAAATACCGATAAATTTATTAGAAAAACTTACTACATATATGTTGTAGACTTTTGATATATGAATATATGCACAACTTATAGTGTTGACAATGATTTACCATGATTTACCATTAATTCAATGAACATTCACACAAAAGCATTTTTTATGCTCATGCGGCTATAATCGCCTCGTTTTTCTTTTCAACATCAAGATCGATGCTATACGATGTTCTAGAAGCTTTCATCATATCAAGTTTAGCGGATTACGAAAATAATTTACTTATTTCCCTTTTTAATCTGTTATCACAACCTATTTCTTTTACATAATTTCAATTAATTTTGAATGCATAGTTCCATGGTGACGTTTTATGAAATAAATAAACGACTGCTTGTTGTCAGTTTTAATAAAAATTGCTAGTAGCTTAGATCCGCCAACTGGAAACGCCACCTTACTCAGATTTTGCAATTTCATCGCTGTTTATAGAAAATTAAAGTAGACTTTTAATTTAATCTAAACTTACTATGCGAGTGAAATCTAAGTATAGTTTACGGACATCATCTTGTATATAGTGATTTTTTAGAGAAGTAAGAACGCTGGTGCCCTGGTATCGGAGTTTATTTGCATATTTTTTTATTTATAAGTATAGATAATAAACATCCATTTCCTAAAGGTTTTTTTCATACCTTATTGTTATATCATTACATTTGTAACTAATAATCCAAAAAAGTCTAGCAAATGACTTTAAATTTTCTATCGTCAACTTCCCATACTTATGCAGCAATATTACCTCATCACATGCGGAGTTTATATCTTTCAGTTCATTCCATACACAAGAACACTGCGTATGAACAATTTCTAAAAAGAGGTAAATTATTGACAAAAAAGTTGATGAAACAGGAATATGAGAGGTCTCGCTTTAACTCATCATTTCCTAAGTTCTACAATGATCTTGTCAGCAAATACAATTTATCATTCAGTCAATTGCTGACTGATGTTTTTCATACTAAGTGTACGTCCATTTTTATACACATAGTTGAAGACTGATTTTTCGTCATTTCCCGATCATGACAAGGAGCACACAGCACCTGTGACCAATTAGCAGGAGACTTCGATGGAACCTGATCCCACCTTTGATGTTTTGAAACTGTGAGTTTGCTCTGCTTCTATTTTTATTGGTTTATGGACTTTTGATCTCGAATACTGTTCTTTATCTCCATATGTTTCATTCTAAGCATTGATATCAAACATTTGTTTCATTTTTGTAGTTTAACAAAAATTAGAAATACTTATACAAATGATCCCTTCCTGGTTCTAGCATCCATAAAACATATACTTTTAAGATTAAGCTACTTACCATTGAGTTGGCCTTTTTGCCCTTAGCTAGCATTTGCGTCCCTGATAAGAAAGCTACTTCCGATATGTTTGAGGTGATGGTTTGATTTCTAAGAACTTCAGTATTGTCAGCGTACCACGTGATGTCATAATAAAGATCCTGATTTGCTAGTCTTTGAAACTGGCAGACAAGATTGACATCTGGTTCGTGGACAGTCTGTTTTATTCCATTGTTTATAGTTGTCGTAGTTGTCCAGGAAACACTATGGTAAGCTACCGTGATACTGGAAGGAACTTCTGAAACACCTTTTAATGTAATGAACTTTGGTTATCAACTTGATAAATCATATTTATGCACGTGCATAAGACAAGGCCCTTCAGAAAGATGCATCATGTTTCCCCTCACACGGATACACAATTGAAAAGTGAAAGTAAACTTCAATAAAAGAATACTTTTTTCCAGCGATTTCTTTTTCTCGGAAAAGTTTAACTTATCATAATTTTATAAATTTCAATAATGTGAACTTAATTTAAATACTTTATTCACATATATATATTATATTAATGAATATGATTTCTTAATATCTGAAGCTATAGGCATTCTACACTCCTTATTCCCCCATCTTCTTAACTAATAAATTACTCACATGATCTGCCTGGTTCTGCAACAAAAAATAATTCAATAAATGTTTCCTGTTGAAAAGAATTATTTTTGAGGTGGTGAATTTTCGATATGTACGTGATATGAAGAAATCCATGAATCCATGTTGAAATAAAAACAAATACAAATTTCTCAAACCTCGAGCTAATATTTTAATTAATCTGATTCAACATAAATCTAAGTCAAACTGTGTTATATACAAACATATCATAATTTTAAACATCCATCTTTTGGAGAGAAAAAAACCCAAGGTGTTTTAAATTATACGAGTTCATTTAAATTCTGTTGGATCGAGATCTTAAAGTTTACATGCTTCAAATGTTTCAATACTGTTTCTAAGATTAGAACTAAGAAATTTTAGTCACATATATAAATTATCCACTATGCAATAATCCTGAATCCGGGCGTTTCAATTTTAAAGATTGAAAAAGACTGGGAAGGCAGACGGCATGTAACATTTCCCACTGACCTATTACTCTTTTAAAAATAAACCATAACAAATGGAATATCCGTGGTATGGATACCACAAGGAAAAACAACCTATACATGTAAACTAGACATAGACTGATTCCAACATTGCATCAGCAGCACTAGACCATAGGCAAAAGTATTTGAGAATTGTATAATGACCAGAAAAATAGTGAGCTCACCAAAACAATATGCAGAGTTGCACAGATCCAAAGGTGTCAATTCATATACGAAGAAATTTCCACAATTCTTTACATTTATGGTGTGCTGCTTTGAACAGCTACCACTGAATCCAACTTGACAAACTGTCACTGCTTTCGTTTCTCCTGATTGTGGCGGTGAACCTAATGTATAGAAAAAAAAACATAGCATAATTTTCTTTTTTACGGGCCCATTTGTCTTTATCGTATACTAGATACCGTAAATCCGGAAATTTTTACTGTATATTAATTTTTAGCAAACTCGCGAATTCATTATATTCGCAAAAATATTTTTCTTAAAAAAAAATAAATCGACAATAAAATAATTTAATAAACAAAGCAGAACTCTAATTATGCTCCAAGCTAATTACTCGTGATAATTTGTGATTGAAGAGTGCCTTAACTAAACTTTTAAGTGTCTTAATGTCTGACAGGCAGCATGTCTCTTTCAAATTATTTCCTTAAGAAAAGGAGTCTAACATCAAATTCCTAGCATGGCAGATTGTACTTTCGTAATTTATAAACTGTTATGAAAATTTAAGTGCTTTTCAATTTTAGCGACAACAATTCGAAAAATTTTGAAGCGTAAAAATTTATCAACAGCTTTCCCCTTACAAAAAATACTATAGTAAACTATAGTTAACTATAGTTTACTATAGTTAACTATAGTACCAAAGTTAAAACTTTGGAACTTTGATTTACTATGGTGAAAACTTTGGAACTTTGATTTACTATGGTTAAAACTTTGGAACTTTGATTTACTATGGTGAAAACTTCGGAACTTTGATTTACTATAGTGAAAACTTTGGAACTTTAATTTGCTATAGTGAAAACTTTGGAACTTTGATTAAGTACTTTAAAACCCGTCGAATTATGGTTTTGATACTCATTTTGTACATTTTATGAAATGTTCAGAATAAGATTTATTACAGCTTCAATGAACGTTTTTAAAAAAACCGACTCTTCCCCTAAAAGAACAAAGTACAAGAAATTAATTTTAATGAATAAATTGTCCTTGCATCGAAAAATAAGCAATATTTATTATTATTTATGGAGAAGAAATTACTATAAAATAAAAATTCCGTCATTTAGAATCAAACTATTTGCTTTTTTTAACATCAGTCAACATGTTTGTTCTATCGTTCAATGTATTTAATACATTTAAACTAATTACTTTAAATATTTAAATTCAGATGAAAAAAAATCAGCCAAAACAAGCCAAAATCATCGTCCTTAAAATACATAAATAATTCAAAAAAACATTAATACTTTGATTAACTATGGTGAAAACTTTGGTAACTTTTGATTTACTATAGAAAAAGCTGTGGAACTTTGATTTACTATGGTATAAACTTTGGAACTTTGATTTACTATGGTGAAAACTTTGGAAATTTGAATAACTATGGTATGAACTTTGGAACTTTGATTTACTGTAGTAAAAACTTTGGAACTTTGATTTACTATGGTGAAAACTTTGGAACTTTGATTTACTACAGTAATAACTTTGGAACTTTGAATTACTATAGGTAAAACTTTGGAACTTTGATTTACTATAGCAAAAACTTTGGAACTTTGATTTACTATAGTAAAAACTTTGAACTTTGATTTACTTTGGAAAACTTTGGAACTTTGATTTACTATAGTGAAAACTTTAAAATTTGATTTACTATAGTTAACTATAGTAAACTATAGTTAACTATAGTTTACTATAGTATTTTTTTGCTAGGGTCTGACCAAGATTCGCAAAATTAAATCAACGTAAAAACCAGATTTAAGGTAATACCTTTGGTAAAAAATCAAGTAAGATTATCTTTTGCGCCAACACATAAAATTGTTTTTTATAGATTTATGTAACTACCATTCATCCAATAAGGATATAGTGTTCCACACATTCCCAGTGTGGGTGCAGAGGTTGGCATTTTGTGGTAGCTGGCCCTATACCACTTCTGTACAATATATCGGTCACAGAGCGGGACGGAGTCCTGGACATAAGAGGGGTTTCTTTTCGCCAAATCTCCAAGCTCAGTATACACAGAAGTCGAACAAGGATCTTGAGCAATAACTGTTATATAAAAAAAATCATTTCTTAGAGTGCATTTCTCGGAAAGGAATGTTGTGATATAAAGAAAAACTTGTTTAATGATTTTTTTTTTCAATTATGTCAGGTATGTCTATCTGCTTAACAACAACTTAAAGCTCATATATTTTCCTCTTCTTCGTGTTCAATTGCGTATCATTTTCTGTTAACTTATTGTATGACAAAAAAGGTTTTTATTATATTTGTTTAATGCATACAATGATTAGTCTCAGTCTGGCGTTTGAATTCTAGATACTGTATAGGGGGAAAATAACTCGCGGTGTTAATATTCGCTATATTCACGGTGTTAATAAATCCGTGAATTCAAGAAACAGTGAATAAATTTTCAATAATCCCCATGCTTTATTTGGAAATTTGAGAATAGACTGCGATAGGTTGACTACGACAGGTTGATATACATGTACAAGCAGTGTATGTTCGTTTCAGTAATTACGAGTTGTACTCGCCATTCAATTATTTTAATCATCACGCTTTACTTTAATTCAAATCGGCAGATAATAACTCGTATTTGTTTAAAAGCTGTTTTAATAGGCAATGCTACATGTATCATTAATCAAAACACGAGGGGCCATGGGTTTTGATTACCCGTGCGTAACTAATTTTACCTCGTGTATTCGTTACCTGCATTATCATGCATATTAGTTTTTATCAACATTTTGGTTTTTAAAAAATCATTCCAATAAATATCGAACTTACTGAAGATGTGGAAAATATTATTTCGGCGAACTACATCAACACATTTACTTCCGTCCAGTGGTTCGACGCGTTGTATTGAAGATCTTGGGTGCACATGCACTCATCCTAATACCATATAGGAAAGTCATTTGACGTTTAGAGTGTGCGACTTTTAATAATTTCACTTGTTGTTAATTGTTGTCAATTTTATATAAACTTACTCTGTTGTTCGTGAAAAAAAAACGCTGAAGAATGTCGTTTACATGTAGCTATGGTATGGATTAAACGAATATAGACAAGGGAGGTAACTTTTATTATATACCAATTCCGCGAATTCAAGAAACCGCGATCGTGTCAGATGAGAGAAAAACGTGAAAATTACAACCCGTGAAATTAATCCCCTATACAGTAGTGCAATCAGTTAAATATAAAAATTACCAGCTTACCTAAAATAATGTTTCCACTTATCAGCACCAATATAAATTGAAGAACTGTCGATTTCATTGCTGTAATATGTATTTATTAAAAAGGATATATATCATTAATGAATAGTATATCAAATGTTTAACATATATTCATTTAGTTACCTTATAGAGTGAAATAATATCTTTTAAAGAAGCTATGTACTGCAGAAGTAAACAATATTTTTCAAAAGCAATTAGCTGGATGTTCAGATACATGTTTTTGGCGACCAAATTCAAATCTTTCAGCCCAATAAGAGTTTTTTGTTATTTTCCTTAAAATGTAGCAACACTGATAAATAAATAAATAAATATATATATATATATATATATATATATCTATATATATATATATATATATATATATATATATATATATATATATATATAGCGTAAAAGAAGCAAAAATGATAATTTAAAATCTAGTTCAAATTATAAATTGTGCGTTCTCGATTTAATCCAAAGCAAAACACCAAAGTTCTGAAAAAAAAGAACATAATTTCTGTCGAGACTATAGCTCTACTGGTTTGTATCTATAACAAACAAAGAGAAAAGTAGCACTTGGACTTGAAACTTTTCAACAGAAATATATATAGAACAAAAGGCCCACGGGCCTTATAGGTCAGCTGGGTATTGTGTAACAATTTTCAAACAAAATTTGTTTCGTGTTTTTAACCAGTCATGATATTCACAATTTTAAAAGAGGCACCATTGCTAATCATAATTGTAGACTTAGCATGCTTACTCTATTTACTTAATACCCAGAGGTAGATCAGAGTAAAAAAAAAAGAGAAAATACACTTTATAACCAGTTGTGCACCTAACCCCAAAGGAACCACTGATCCTGGGTCCCACATATTTCAAAATTTTGCAAATTTTATCATAAAATGGCTGATTTTATTTACTTACTTTATTTAATACCTAGAAGCAGAGAAGAAGATTTTCAAAGAAATAATGCATTTTCACTATATACTCTATATAGCCCCGACCTGGCATTAGAACCCCTGACCCTGGGGCCATGAATTTCACAATTTTGGAAGAGGCACTATTGCGCATCATAAATATGTGCTTAGTTAGTTTATTTAATACCTAGAAGCAGAGAAGAAGATTTTCAAAGAATAAGTACATTTCACTATATAATCAATAGAGCCCCGCCCTAACACTAGAACCCTTACTCTGGGGCAATAAAATTCACAATTCTGGAAGAGGCACTTTTGCTCATAATTACTATGTACTTAGTTTACTTAATACACAGGAGCAGAGATGAAGACTTTCAAAGAAATAATGCATTTTCACTATTACACTCTATATAGCCCCGCCCTAGCACTAGAACCACTGACCCTGGGGCCATGAATTTCACAATTCTGATAGAGGAATCAATGCTGATTACAATCATACCAACAGTTGAACTGCCTGATGTCCAGGAGTAAAGAAGATATTTAAATATTGCACTAATTTTAGTGGTTTTGGTCCCACCCCCAAGGGGGCAGGGACCATGAAATTCACAATTTTTGTTTCCCTTCACCCACAGATGCTATATGCCAAGTTTGGTTGAAATTGATTCAGTGGTTTAAGAGAAAATGAAAATGTTCAAATGTTAACGCACGACGGACGAAAACGGATAGCAATAGGTCACCTGAATTTACTCAGGCGACCTAAATATACAATATACATGTATTTCACAGAGATTTCTATTTTTAGAGACCATGGCAACATCGATCATTAAAATTAAAAACTGATACATAGAACTTTGTATCATATAGTAGTCTACTTGTGTGCCAAGTTATATTGAAATCACATTTAAAATGTAGAAAGAAGTAGCAATTTGAAAGTATTTTACATTAATATCTTTTTATAATGCGATAAATCATTCTATATCCTTCAGCCTGTATTTTATTTACTTATGCAATTTAGCAAACAATTTATGAAAAATTATTAATTAAAACCGGGGAATGTTGTCCTTAGAAAAATGATTTACTTCTAAAACGAAAAAAAAAACTCCGATCATGTCCACGTTTCTCATTTTGAAAAAAAATCTTTCAAAACAAATCGTTCCATTATCCAATGACCGTTAAAATGTAAATAAATACCACATGCCATGAGTAGTCTTAAATGGCTATATATACACATGTGCATATTTTTAGATATTAATGTTAAAGTGTTAATAATGAAAGGTCAAGTTAACTACCAGTTGAAAACAACGTCCTCTTGACATCACGCCAAATATGTTTTGAGAGCAACATACTATGCATATATACAGGCATTCAGATTTCTTTAATGCACTATTGATATAGCATTATTCATTCTTTTAATTTAAAAACCAACGCAATTGCGAAACAAAAAAAATGGAATGTACGAGCCCTTCTTCCTTGTCTATTTATAAACCTGACGGATTGTATTCTGCCAAATTTAGGCCGATTTAATAGCTAGTAATCAAGTTCTTTCATTACTTATAAATCTAGGATGAAAACAAAATAATGTTTATAAAAAAGCAAATCATGTCTTGTGTTTTATTAAAGAATCATGTCTTGTAAAAATATCTTAACAGAATTGCAGACCTCTAAAGAATATATTTTCATATTTATAAAAGAACATCCATCGAAATAATAAGTTTTCACGGTCATAAAATGTTGTAATTTTTACTGACAGGGTGTATGACTGAAGTGATTGTTTCTCTTTATTGATATTTAGATTATTTTTGAATAAAATCTTACTTTACCCTTCTATAATAGACTTAATAAAAGGACACACACTCAACATTTTTTCAGAGATATACTGACTTAATTTCGCGTCTTTTTGAAAAAAAAAATACAAATACTAAAGTATATGTATTTTTTAAATATGGAATATTTTAAATAATGAAATATTTAAAATTTATAAATGAAGAGAAAAAAATCTTACCGAAATGTAAATCCAAAAAGATACCTAATGAAATCAAGGTAGCAATATCATTGCATGAAAAACACCTTATATTCTAAAGTTCCTCGAGGTAATAAATTCACTTCCTGGTTCGTATGATTTAACTTGTCTCCATAACCGAAACTATCACATCAAAAGAGTTCATAAGCCATTATATCCATAAAAAAAACTCTATAACTTCTTAATAAATGTAGGAAATAATTTAACAAAATTATGAACTTAAAAAGTAAAATTAGCGATAAAAGTATAGAGAAGAACATCGCAATTTTTTACCAAGGTGAAAAATGCCTGTAAATATATACGTTTACAATAATCATACAATGATATCAAGAAAATCAAAGGTTAAAATAAATTAATTCTTAGTTATAAAATTATTTTGATTTTTATTCTTCTACATGTACCAATGCATTTATATATTTGAAATACAATTAGTTATTGTTTTTATTCCTTAATTGTGATAATTAACTTTTATTGCCCAAAAAACATATTTCACTTTCTGACCGAAACATTTTGACTTCGGAAAGGCAAGGAATGGAATAAAACCTGTATATTTTTAAATCTTTTATCTCACACATGAACAAAAGAGAAGAGCACCCCTTTTCTCGTAAATAAAAAGGGGTCCGTATCTTCTCTGGTTTCCCAAGTCGGTCTAATGTCACCATTACAATGCCGCAGCAGTGAGGTAACAATGTATCACATGTTTTGTATGATTTTCAGATTAAGCTACAATTCATTGTAAATATTTTATCCACTGTTTAAAAATTATTCAGAAGCCGAGTGACGTTAATTTATTCATGTATTGACCAGCTTTTGTAATTTTATACAAAGTCTGCTTTTTGTGAAAATTTTGTGAAACTTATATTTAAAGTAAACAAATAGGTCAAACACGAGGGTTGGACGTTGATTTAAACTGGGTATGGATTTGTTCTTTTCTTAAGTGCAGTTCGTTTTTTTTAAACTACGTATGAATTTGATATATTCAAACAACTTCCAGAATGAAATGACCATGTGATAACTTTCACTATTTATTTTTAGGTCACCTGAGTCACTCAGGTGACCTATTGCTATCCGTTTTCGTCCGTCGTTGTGCGTCGTGTGTTAATATTTGAACATTTTCATCTTCTTCTCTGAAACAACTGAACCAATTTCAACCAAATTTGGTATACAGCATCAATGGGTGAAGGGAAATATAAATTGTGAATTTCATGGTCCCTGTCCCCTGGGGCCTGGGTGTGGGGCCAAAACCACTAAAATTATTGCAATCTTTAAAAATCTTTTTCTTTATTCCGGGGCATTAAATTTGGTATATAGCATTTATGGGTGAAGGGGAACAAGAAATGTGATTTTATGGTCCCCGCCCCCCTGAGGCCAGTGGGGTGGGGCAAAAATTCCTAGAATTAGTGCAATATTTAGAAATCTTCTTCTTGACTCGTGGACATCAAGCAGGCAAACTGTTGGCATGAATGTAATGACCATTGAGTCCTCTACCAAACTTTGAAATTCATGGCCCCAGGGTCAGAGCTCTAGTGCTAGGGAGGGGCTATATAGATTATATAGTGAAAATGCATTATTTCATTAAAAATCTTCTCTTCTCCTGGGTATTAAATGAACTAATTAAGAACATAGTTATGATGAGGAAGAGTGCCTCTTCTAAAATTGTGAATTTTATGGCCCCAGGGTCAGGGGTTCTGGTGTTAGGAAAGGGCTCTATTAATTATATAGTAAAAATACATTTAATCTTTGAAAATCTTCTCTGCTTCTAGGTATTAAATAAAATAAGTACATAGTCATCATGAGCAAGAGTGCCTCTTCCAAAATTGTGAATTTTATGGCCCTAGGCCTAAGGGTCAGGGGTTTTGGTGTTAGGACACGGCACTATTGATTACATATTAAAAATACATAAAATCGTTGAAAACCTTCTTCTTTGCTGCTGGGTACTAAATAAACTACATGTAGCTTAGTATATAGTTATGATGAGAAAGAGTGCCTCTTCCAAAATTTTGAATTTTATGGCCCCTGGGTAAGGGCCGGGGTTCTGGTGTTAGGACGGGGCTCTATTGATATATAATGAAAATACATTAAATCTTTGAAAATCTTCTTCTCTGCTCCTGGGTACAAAATAAACTTAGTATATCGTTATGATGAGCAAGAGTACCTCTTCCAAAATTATGAATTTTATGGCTCAAGGATCAGGGGTTCTGGTGGTAGGGCGGGGCTCTCTTAATTATATAGTGAAAATACATCAAATCTTTGAAAATCTTCTTCTCTGCTCCTGGGTACTAAATAAACTAACTTAGTATATACTAGTAGTAATAATGAGCAAGAGTGCCTCAAACATTTTTTTGAATTTCATGGCCCCAGGGTCAGGGGTTTTGTCATTTGTTGTAAAGGGGGGGGGGTTAGCTCTTTTGATTATATAGTTTAAATACACTAATTCTTTTCAATCTTTTCCTTTGCTCCTGGGTTTTATGCCAATGATCCAAGTATATATATATATATATATATATATATATATATATATATATATATATATATATATATATATATATATATATATATATATATATATATATATATATATATTTATGATGAAGAAAGGTGCATCTAGGAAAATGGTTATTTTTAGGGGGGGGGGTGTTACATAGTCTGAAATGAATTAATGCTTTGAATACGGCTCGTTCGTATTTATCAACCATTTAATAATAAAATTTGCAAAATTTTGAAATACCTGGCCCCAGGGTCAGTTGTCCCTTTCGGATGGGTGCACAACTGATTATAAAGTGGAAATGCATTTTCTCTTTCTTACTCTGATCTACCTCTGGGTATTACGTTAATAAATTAATATAAGCAATGGTCTGCCACTACCTCTTTCAAAGTTGTGAACTTATACACAATACTCAGGTGACCTATAAAGCCCGTGGGCCTCTTGTTCACGATTATTTTCTTGTTTAAACCCGACGTCTCTTTTCAACATTTTACATCTATCAACAGTAAAGAAATAGACCCTGATAATGTTTACATTTCCGTCAGGATTTCCAATACGTTAATGTTTGATATGCTGTAATAAATTTTCATACTTCATTCGGCATTCCTCTGTTAAGGGACGACTATTTGATTTTAAGAGGGGTTAGGGTTGGGTGCTGTTGAAATTTGTCGATTCGGGTTATATTGTTTCACACCTATAATGGACGGATGATTTATTTTCAATATTATCAAGAAAAGAATTTTGGACGACAAATAATCAATTTTCCTAAAACCGCCACGATACCATCTCTGAATTTGATGTCCGGTCACTTGAATATATTACAGAGCCATATTTTCTTCACAAAGGCCCTTTAAGAGTCTATATACTGTGGATTTCTGAGATAACCAGCAGACCCCGATTTTGTGGATTCGTTGGTACCTGTTATCAACGTATTAGAATTCACAAAAAATAAATAAACAATGGTTACAGTCATATTTGCTTCTAAGATAGTACACGAAATTTTGTCCAAACTTCGCCGACGTAAACTTTTTTTAATTGCACTTGTTTGTGATGTCCAAATGAAATCTGTAACTATGAAGACCAGTGGTTTCTCTTCAAACACCTTATAATTAATTTACCTGGCGAAGGTATTTCTTGTAATATTTGTACATACCAATGTATATATATTCTGAAAGCAGGTAATATGTTATTTCTAAAATGATTGTAAAAAATTCATTTCAGTTGCCATGGCAACGAAATACACGATAATCATGCTGGAATTTCTATTTATTAAATAATGAGTTTCATTCTAGTTTTTTTGCTTTTTAATATATTAAAAAATATTTTATTGTTCTGTTGAAAATTATGAACATGCTGTAATTTTTTTTTTACAAACCAATTTTAAGTATTTGAGGGTATTGGGTAGGGTTTGGATGTAAACACCAGAAATTAGCATTTTTACATATTACGTGTTACCCCCGCATTGATTTCGATAATGGCAAAATCACTCAAATAGTGCACAAAGTTTAACTATATAAAGCTAGCAAAAAACTGGTACAATCAATACAGATACTTTTAGTATACTATTTTACCGTATTTATTTTCTCTTTCCAACAGTGCAAGAATTATTCTGATATTTCCAGTATTAACGAGGTTATGAATGTTTTTTCACATTATACTTGTTTTTCAAGTCAGAGGCGTAGAAATGCGTATATGCCATGTAAGGGGTTAAACGTGTTTGCTCTATTCCTGATTTGTACATGTATTATAAGCTTAACTACTTTTGTTGTATCCATATGCATGTATATCATTTTATACTTTAATTTGAGCAGCGCAGTGAACAGTTGACAAACTTCTGACTCTTACTGTCAATACGATACAATATTGTCATCTTGAATAGAGAGAAGACAGTCAAACATTATTTCAGTGTTTGTCTTTATATAAATGGTGCCTGTTTTGGAGGGTTACAGTTGAAATTGACACCCCAAATAAAACCATTGTGAACCGACGCGTCAGCGGAGGTTGACAATGGTTTTCCGAGGGGTGTCAATTTCAACTGTTACCCTCCAAAACAGGCTCCATTTATTTTATTATACTGAATGTCTTCTTGATTTACTATGTCAGCAATACAAATCGTTGAACGCCTTTTCGTTCACGTTTAGAAAGCTTTCAAACTCCCCGCTACTTCGAAAAAGAATTACTGACCTCTTTATTGTTTATTTGATACTCTACGAGTCCTTTATCATCTAAAGTTTCGTTATTTCTGCACTCGCAAGCATGTTTCGTCTGTCGTTTGTTGTTTTCAAGAAAGCTACAAGCTTTTCTTGACGTCAAGTTTATTCCAGTTCTTTTAAACGCGCAACTGACGTTTTGAGAATTCTACGGTGAACCGTACGCGCATTATTTTCAGGCATGTGGCATTACCGTTGTGTTACCCGTTGTCACGTGTGTTGCTAAGGCTGAGGGTAATAGAACAGTTTGTTAACTGCGTCTAAACCAATCAGATTTTAGTATTTAACATGAAAGTATAATAAAATCAATTGTGCAATGATTTAATGACCTAAGCCGATTAATATATACATGTAACTTTTTATTGTACATTCAGCGGTCCCAGTGACTTCGTTTTAACCGAGTTTTACTAAACCTGTTTTTAGATTAACTTGTTTCTTAGAAATAAATTCAATTAAAATAATTCTTTACCTAAGCCACATACATGAAAATGTTCAAATTCCTGTATCCAAGTATTTCTAGAATTTGTATTTGATTGTTAAATACCTTTTCTTGAGGTAGGTCGACATTTACAGGTATCTATTGCACAACCTTATCGATCAAATTCATTTATTGAATGGAGCGACAAGAGAATCTAGACTGAGCGTACAATGTATGTAAAATTATGTAATTTGAATCTTGTGTCGACAAGAGGCGTAAGGTAGAATTTTTTCGCAGCAAAAAAAAATTCTTAAGAAATTTGAACAAAAATGCTGAATTTTCAAAATATATTTTCATGCATTCTCTGAAGATGAAATAAATTAGTCGGGCCAAATTTAGTCAGTCGGTTTTGGGGCATCCAACCAAATATTTGTTAAAGATTGCCTAAATTGAAGATTTAAAAACCCGTAAATCATTGAAAACCGTATAAGTAGATTTTTTAGCGAGGATTTAATTTTGGCATTATTAGCGAGGGTGCCGAGATCTCTAAAATTGAATGTCGCTAAAAATTAAGTGCCTTTTATTCCTAATAGCTTCTTAAGTATGCATTTTAAAATCGCTAAAATAACATGTCGCGAAAAATAAATTACCAGTTTTTAAGGACAAATCGCTAAATTTGTGTCTCGCTAACATTTCCACTTATACGTTATTTGGCTATTAAATTTCAGATGTGTGCCTTATTAATATTTCAATATGCATGCAAGGTCTTCTTAGTATTATAAATCTTCACTTGTGTGTTTTCACAGACATTGAGGTAGGAAAACTTTTGTTCTTATGAAGTATTCTGTGAGCAATCAAAAAATGAACCAATTTATGAACTCTTAAAACACCTCAACTTTCAAAGAATGGGGGGGTGGGGTCTACCTGAATTGTGTTTTTTGTGTGTTTCCAATTTTAATGGAAGAATTTAAATTGAGTAAAACTACACGCTCTTCATCATTCCCCGCATTAAAAGGACAAATTATATTTTTTCCTAAATATTTCGTAAGTTGTGTAATGTAACGATTTCCCTTTTGTTTTGTTTTTTCTGATATATTTATATTATTTGTGATTATAATCTTACTCAACCCATCGATGATAGATGGACAATTTTTTGACGATAAATTTACAAATACTCAAACATTTTCAAGGATATCTTGACTTTATTTAGCGTCTTTTAGGAGGAAATACAAATATCAATGAAATATTAAAAATTTATAAATTAAAAAAAAACTGCATCTTACCGAAATGTAAATCCCAAATTATACCTAATAAAATCAAGGTAGCGATATAATTGAATGAAAAACACTGTATATTCTAAAGTTGTTCGAGGGACTAAATTCACTTCCTGGTTCATACTATTAAACTTGTCTCAAGTTCCATAGCCAACACTATCACATAGAGAGAGTTCTAAAACCGTTCATCCCAAGAATAAACTCTGTAATTTTCGAATTAATTTCGGGTATGTTTTTTTTTTTTGAAAATCTGAACTTAAAAAACTAATGTAAAAAATTTGCTCTGTAACAACTTTAATACATCTTCCATGATTTCGGAAAAGGCAGAGTTAAAAAAATAGGTTATAAAAATTATCTTGATTTTTTTTACACCCATGCATTTATATATTTGATACACAAATAATTAGTGTATATTCCTTAAATGTGGTATTTACATGTAACTTTATCGCCGAAATACACATTTTACTTCCTTAAACATTTTAGACTTAGGAAACATAAGGCATGAAATATAATTATATTTTTATAGCTTTTATCGCACACACGAACAAAAGAAAAGAGCGCCCCTTTTCTCATAAATAGAAGGCGCTTTCTTTTTAAACTTCTCCGGTTTCCTAAGTCGGTGTATTGTCACCATGAAAATGCCGCAGCAAAGTGTTACAATGTATATGTATCAGATGTTTTGTATGGTTTTCAGATTAAGCCACATTTCATTGTATATAATTCATCCACTGTTTAAAAATTATTCAGGAGCCGAGTGACGTTAATTTATTCATGTTTTGACCAGCTTTTGTAATTTAATACAAAGTCTGCTTTTTGTGAAAATTTTGTGAAACTTGTATTTAATGTAAACAAAAAAGGTCAAAGACGAAGGTTGAATGTTAATTTTCACTGAGTAAGGATTTTTTTTGCTAAAGTGCAGTTCGATTTTTTCAGCTCCATATCAATTTGATATATTTAAACAACTTTCAATATAAAATGATCAGGTGATAACTTTCATTTTCTTTTTTTCACGATTATTTTCTTGTTTAAACAAACTTGCCGTCTCTTGTCGACTTTTTATCAACAGGAAAGAAACAGACCTTGATAATGTCAACATTTCGGTCAGGATTTCCAATAGGTTAATGTTTGATATGTTTTAATAAACTTCCATACTTCATTCAGCATTCCTCTGTTAAAGGACGACCAGTTAATTCTAAGAGGGAGGATGGGAGGGTGCTGACGAAGATTTTCGAATGGAACTATTTATTTTCACTTTCGTTATGGACGGATAATTTATTTTCAATTTGATCAAGAAAAATATTTTCGAGGACAGATAATTAAATTTACAAAAATTTGCCAAGTTACAATTTCTGAATTTTACGGATAATGCATAATGTGTTAACGTTTCTTTACTTTTTCTGTATTTAAGAACGACTCAGCACTACCACAGCGTCCTTTAACTATGAAGTAATCAATGAAATATAGATGAGCATAAAAATAACCTAAGAATTAAGAATATCTTTAGTGAACTTTTATAATTATTTTTAAAAAATCTTTTGATAACTCTGTTATTCTCGTATTTAATGCATGATGTACATGTATGCAATTCTCCATGTACGATATTGTTCAAACCGGTGTAGACTTTTGAAAGTTAACTTGCAAGAAATTGCAGATTTGATTGCAGAGCTGCCAACATTCTGAAATTTCAAATAGTAAGGTGGGGTCTACGGACCACCTAGGCCCTCTTCCGCTGAAGATGTTTTGTAAATGAACATGCAGTCTGAGGCATGTTTCTATTTTGTTTACTTTAAAACATTGACATGAATGTGATCGGCCTTCTGAAACCGAAACGTTGATACAAGCAAGCGTTGTAAGAATTATGAATATATTATAATAGTAGAAAATATGTAGTCTGCCAGCTATGAAAATACGGGTATTATAAACTTTGAACGAAAAAAACTGCAATCGGAAGAATATAGAGAGAAATCGTAAGGCGTATTTTAGACGCTGATTTCGTACGCCTTACGCCAAAATCGTAACGGTTGGCAGCTCTGTGATTGGTATTGATTTGCAATCAGTATGGAACCTAAAAGATGATTTCCCTCATTTATCGACGAACAGAAAAAATAAACAGTAAATGCAACTAAAGGGACATTAATTTTTGGAGAAGTATGTTCGGAAAAAGAAAATTTAGGCCAGTAGAAAATATTCCAACAAGGAACTAGATTTTTTATCGACTACTTTTTATTACATTGATATTCGCAAAAAGACGAAAATGAATAAGAGTAAGGTTATGTACATTTTTTCAAGTGAAGTTTCGAGAAGTATCTGAAATATCATTATATGACCTACAGGGACATGGACGGCGAATTGTCATTGACCGTTTAAACCGTGCTAGATGCAAATATTACCGTGGTTTAAAACACCGGAAATGGACAAAGCATCACGCTATACGTGTTATCGGACAGCTGAGAGACAATTTTCACTTAATGAATTCAGACTAAATCCTTCCCGCAGTAGTTTTTGCACTTGTGAAGATGTCCAAGTAGAAAATACTGCTTTTCCGGTATAAAATCCAAATGAAATCGTCAACTATGAAGGCCAGTGGTTTCTCTTCAAACACCATATAATTTATTTACCTGGCTACTCTATAAAATAAGGAATTCTAGAGAATAACCATTCAATTAATAACCCTTCAATGAGTACAGTTTTCCGTAGACGAATACTGGACTAGAAACTCAGCACAACCTTTCAATGTAAGGGTGCGACAATGCCGATAGCGTAGGGAATTGTGAATGTGGTGGGACTTCTTAACAAAACAGAGATTGACAACTGCCATATAACATACGATGTCTTTTTGATTCCTTTTGTTCATACTAGTAAACAGATCTTCATAAAATTTGCACCAAAGTTTCATTTGTCCCTTTGAATTTTTATTTTCAAGTCTTCGACGCCAGAATACAGGATTGTATCTGTGTGAACAGCAATTGAAGGCATAAGGTAAACCAACTCTATTTGCTCTATTACTGATTTGTACATGTATTGTAAACTTAACTACTTTTGTTGTATCCATAAATTTCATTTTATATTTTGATTTGAGCAGCGCAGTTAACAGATGACAAACTTAACTCTAGCATGATTCAAATAACGTAATTTTACATACATATGTTTTGTTATTGCTCCATGCAATTTATGTATTTGATCGATAAGGAAAGGAAGTTCGACCAACCTCAAGAGGTATTTGGCAATCAAAAATAATGCAAATTCTAAGAAAACTTGGCTACAGAATATATGATTGTTTTTGTGTGTACGAACAAGGTTTATTGCAATTGAAGGCATGTGGTGAACCCACCTTTCACAATTTAAACGTGTTTGCTTTATTCCTCAGAAAATTTGGATACAAAAAATTGAGCATTTTCAAGTACATGTTGGTGACTGATATTAAGAAATGTTTCTAAGTTATCAATAAAAATTAAAATCAATTTGTATGAAACAAGTTAGCAGAATACGATAATGACGTATATTGTAATATGTAACATTAACTTAGGTCAATAAAGCATTCAAAAATAAATTATGATCCAAATATTGTTTGTCTGCCCTCTTCCGATTCAAGATGACAATATTTGATTGGTAGAAATATTTCTTTCTAAGAAAATTTCAACATACATGTAAATGCTTAATTTTCAAAATATAAAACGTATTTCATTGCATAAAAAATTTATTGATTATTAATTTTGAAGTTAAGAATTTTGTCGGGCCAGTTTTAGTCAGTTGGCCCAGGGGCAACTAAACATTTTTTTTAAAAGATGCCCTAATTGAATATATATTAACCCATATATTACTGCCTATTTCGTTTTTAAATTTGAAATACTAGTATCCTAAACTCTGCTACGGGACAAAGTCGAATGCGTTTAATTCTAAAGGAAACAATTTTTGTAAAAATTATAGTGTGGGATCATTCACCTTTATTATTTGAAGCTTTTTATACACCAATTAAAAACCAGAAGTCTCTGTCGAGACTGTAGCTCTACTGGTTTGCTTGGTTAAAACAAAGGAAGAGAAAAGTAGCAGTTGGGACTTGAGACTTTAAATCAGCAATAAATAGAAAAATGATCCTTGTCACTCATCAAAATAAAAACCAATGCACAGAATTATGTATCTTAGTATAGTCTACTTGTGTGCCAAGTTATACTGAAATCAGACCAAAACTGCAGGAGGAGTAGCATTTTTGAAAGAATTTCACAGAAATTTCTATTTTTAGTAACCATGGCAACATTGTTCATTGAAATCAAAAACCAATGCACAGAATTATGTATCTTAGTGTAGTCTACTTGTATGCCAAGTTATATCAAAATCAGACCAAATCTGTAGGAGGAGTAGCATTTTGAAAGAATTTCAAAGAAATTTCTATTTTTAGTAACCACTGCAACACCGTTTATCGAAATCAAAAACCGATGCACAGAATTATGTATCTTAGTGTAGTCTACTTGTGTGCCAAGTTATACTTAAATCGGACCAAATCTGTAGGAGGAGTAGCATTTTGAAAGAATTTCAAAGAAATTTCTATATTTAGTAACCAAGGCAACACCGTTCATCGAAATCAAAAACCGATGCACAGAATTATGTATTTTAGTGTAGTCTACTTGTGTGCCAAGTTATAATGAAATTGGACCAAAACTGTAGGAGGAGTAGCATTTTGAAAGAATTTCACAGAAATTTCTATTTTTAGTAACCACGGCAACACCGTTTATCGAAATCAAAAACCGATGCAGAGAATTATGTATCTTAGTGTAGTCTACTTGTGTGCCACGTTATACTGAAATCGGACCAAATCTGTAGGAGGAGTAGCATTTTGAAAGAATTTCACAGAAATTTCTATTTTTAGTAACCACGGCAACACCGTTTATCGAAATCAAAAACCGATGCAGAGAATTATGTATCTTAGTGTAGTCTACTTGTGTGCCACGTTATACTGAAATCGGACCAAATCTGTAGGAGGAGTAGCATTTTGAAAGAATTTCACAGAAATTTCTATTTTTAGTAACCGGCAACACTGTTCATCGAAATCAAAAACCGA